AAGACTAAATTCACAGGGGAAAAAGCAAAGGATTTGCAACCTGACAGTTATTACTCTCTTTTTACAGATGAGGAAACTGAGGTACAGAGAAGTCAAGTCTCCCTCCCAGCCAGTATGTGGGAGAGACTAAATTTGAACTCATGTCTGTTCAGGGCAACACAAAGGAAAGCTCAGTACAAAATATTCAGGAAGCTCAAGGGTGCATGCAGCCAGCTCCCTGCCTCTGAAGTCCCAGGGGTATAGACGTTCTGAGTGCTCTGCTCGCCTACATGTTCTTTTTCAGTGCGGGCACCAAGGCCACGCCAAGGACAAATATTCCCATTGACGCTCTCATCTTCTCTTCCTGCAGCTTTTCATCATTTTGATCTTGTCCTTTCTGCAAAGACGGGAGCACCGTAGACAGAGAGATGACACTTCTTACCTCCTGGCAAACGACTTAGGAATCATCATGTGAGTTGAGCCAGGGTTGATCACTGCAGCTTGGGGTACCCAGTGGTTGAGGCCGACACCAATTGTCAGTCCAGGATAATTCCCGGTTACCTCCCTCCACCTCTACCCCATCATGGAGAGCACCGCCCTCCCTACCCCAACCCAAACCAAGCTCTGAGAGCTCAGAATTGACTTCTAACCCATTGCATCCCGGGTACCCAGGACAGCCCAGAGGTACTTTGAACATCTCAAGGGGGCTCAGATCACTATGGGAAAGCCTTCCCACACGCAGGGCTATGGCTACCTCAGGAAGCAGGAGGGAGAGCGTTCCCTGTCACTGGCAGCAGCAAGCCTTCTCATTGGCACAGAGCCATGAGTCATGGTCCAGGAGAGCCAGCTGGACCAGTGAACTTTCACAGCCTTTCCACCTCTGCCATTCTGTCTCTGCATCCCTTGCCACATTTTTAACTTGAGAGCTAATTGTTCATATCTCTGCCTCCTCACCCCTTAATAATTGATAATAATAAAACAGTGAACACTTATTGTACATTGACTATGACCTAGGCACTGAATTATTTGCTTTGCCTACATTACTTTGATGAACCCTCTTGCCAGCTTGCCATGGTGGCGGATGTTATTCTCATGTAATGGATGAGCAAACCCAGGCTCAGAGAAGTTATGTGACTTGCCCAAGGCTACATAGCTAAGTGATAAGAGCTTTAACCCAGAGCCACATGGGTCAGGAAGGCAAGATTCAGGTCCTGCCTCCCAGGTCCCTGCCTGCAGTGTATTGCTCTCGACGGAAAGAATTTTTTGTCTTCTTCACTTCAGTACCCTGAATCCATGGCTAGCCCCAGAATTCGCACAGAGGACCTAAGAAAATATATCAGTTGAGATGAATAGTTCACTCCCCAATAACTCTTCCTCAGGGTGGGATCGAGAATTTGGAGACAAAATGTGGGACTATCTCACAGCCACCTTCTGGCCTCGTGAGCTGTTTCTCTTGTTCACAGACCTCTGGACTTCGTGAGCACTTTTAGTAACCGATGGTCCTATGGAATCGCCTTTGGGGCTACAGCCAATAAAGTCATGTTCCTGTTCTCAGAAGGCTACCGGCCTCTGCAGATCCCACAGTGGGCCCAAGGTACCAGGGCTGCCTCATACCTGCTGGGAATTTTGCCATGGAAATCCTTGCTCTCAGATACAGCATGGCAGGGTTCCCTGGGATTAGGGGGTAAGCTTTATGAGCTGTCAGTGCTCTTCCCAGCCCATTACTTGCCCAATGTCAATGCCTAGCCCAGAAAGTCTCAAACCTTGTTTGTGGGAGTTTTCTCTTTGTTAGATTCAGAGGTCTTTTAGATATAGTAGAACAAAAGTTCAGAAAGTAGGTTTACTACCATCCACCCTAAAAATATCTCCTGAGTTAAAGCCATGGCTGCCTTCTTGATATCAATAGGCCCTCAATAGGATACTTCCTCAAAGAACAGGTCTTACTTCTTTGGCCATGTATCTGGGGCCTCTTCATTCCCCATGCTTCACGCTCTCCCTGAAGTAGCAACTCTAATCTATAGGTTCAACCATTCCTAGTACGACAACTTCCAAACCTCTTTGTCCAGCCAGTTTTCTTGCACATATGGGCTCCAAGCCTATATAAGCCAATGCCTACTAATATCTAATTAGTTTTTAAGGAAATGCAAATTAAAACCAAAATGATATACCACCACATACCACACACCTCTTAGAAGTATATAATTTAAGTTTTGACAAATGTTTTCGTCTATGAAATCATTACAATCAAGATAATGAACCACAGAAGTTAACTTGTTCCCCTTTGTAATCTCTTCTTCCCACCCCTATCCTGTCACTGTCCCCACCCCCAGGCAGTCATATAAATGGAATCATACACATGTGGAATCTACATGTATGGAATCATACATACATACAAATGTACTCATTTTGGGGGGGGGGATGCGGGTCTGGAATCTTCCACACAGTATAGTTATTTTGAGGTTCTTATATGTTTAGCATGCATCAGAAATCAATTCCTTTTTCATTATTGAGTAGTATTCCATTATATGTGGATAACACAGTATGCTTATCCAGTCACCTGTTGATAGACATTTGATTTATTTACAGTTTTTGGCTATTACAGATAAAGTCTCTATGAACATTACAAGTCTTTGTATGTACATGTGTTTCCATTTTTCTTGGGTAAATACCCAAGTGGAATGGCTGAATTATATAGATCATATAGCAGATGATATTTTTTAAGAAACTGTCAAACTGTTTTCCAAAGTGATTGCTCCATTTTAAATTACCATCATCAGTTTATGAGAGTTCCAGTTTCTCTGTATCCTTGACAATGATGGGTCAATCTTTTTAATTTGTAGCCATTCTAAGAGGCATGTAATGGTGTCTTGTGGTGTTAATTTGCATTTTCATAATGACTAATGATATTGAGTATATTTTCATGTGCTTATTTGCTATCCCTATACCTTCTTTGGTGAAGTGTCTGTTCAAATCATTTGCCTATTTTTTTATAATTGGGTTTTTTGTTTTCTTCTTCTTAAGTTTCGAGAGTTCTTTACATAATCTGTGTATAAGTCCTTTATCAGATATATGAACTACAAATATTTTCTCCAGTCTGTGGCTTGTATTTTCATTCTAATATCAGTTTCTTTTGCAAGGCTGACATTTAAAATGTTAATGAAATTCAATTTATTCATTTCTTCTTTTATGAATTATGCTTATAAGGAAGTATGATTATGAGAAATCATGCTTATAAGAAAGCATATAAGAAATTTTTGCTTAAGCTAAGGTCACAGATTTTCTCCTGTGTTTTTTCTAGAAGTTTTATAGTTTCAGGATGTTTTGCATTTAGGTCTGTGATACATTTTGAGTTAATTTTTTTGCATATAGTGTGAGATATGGATTGAATTTCCTTTTTTTCTTTTTTACCTTTGGATGTCCATTTGTTTCAGCACTATTTGGTACAAAAAACCTATCCTTTGCCCACTAAATTGCCTCTGCACCTTTGTGGAAAATCAGTTGGCTACAACTGGTCTATTTCTGGACTCTATTCTGTTCCATTGACCTGCAATGTGCAGAGGTTCCAATTTCTCCACAACCTAGCCAACACTTGTTATTTTCTGTTTTTTTGTTTTTGTTTTTTTGGGTCTATTTCTGGGCTCTATTCTGTTCCATTGACCTGCGATGTGCAGAGGTTCCAATTTCTCCACATCCTAGCCAACACTTGTTATTTTCTGTTTTTTGTTTTTGTTTTTGTTTTTAATTATAGCCATCTTAATAAGTGTGAAGTAGTATCTAATTGTTGTCTTGATTTACATTTCCCTGAAAACTAATGATGTTGGCGTTTGGCTAGGCAAGAACAATAGATACTCTCATTACATCCTCAATACTTTCTGTTGGCTTCTTCCCTCTCATATTTTCTGGACTCACTATTTCGCAGCTCCTAATGTTCTATCCTTATTTTGGATTCTTACTACAGGCAGTCCTCCTCTACGTGGGGCTCTGTCCTGGGTGAGGACTTAGATACTAATTATAGAGAGTTCATGGGACCCAGACAACTCCAGCATCTTCAGACCTTACTCAATACGTGCTTATCCAAACCTATGAATCACGGCCTTCAGCACCGCCCCCAGTTCCAGCTGTTATTTCAGCTTCTATATCCTATGAGTCTCTGCTGGCAATTTTGGGTTTCTCTGTTCTTGGGCCTTCAGCCATTCTACTGCTTTCCCTCTGCTTCCTCTTACTCAGGTATTGATATCACATGGGTCTTGTCACGTAGATTTGTTGTAGATATTGTCTGTGGGTTTTGGTTTTGCTATCTTAGTTCTGTCTACTTCCATGTCAGAGGGAATTCAGGTAAATTTTAAAAATTATACTGTTGCAGCTTCTATCCTCACAGCAACTATTTCTTTTATATTGTCCTTTCCTCCCAGTCCTCTAACATTCACATTCACACGAATTACTGACTAGCCCCAATCAGCCATCTCCTATCCTTTGCCCTTCATTCCCTTCTCTCCATCTTACATGTGCCTGCTTATATTCATGGCCATGCGAAATGTCACCAGCTCCAGGAAGCCTTCCCTGAATACACAGACCCCAGGTCCAGAACCCAGCTCAAAGCAGACTCTTAGTAAAGGTCACCTTGCATGATTAAATTTTATTGGATGCTGTTAGTGTATCTCAGAGCTAGTTAGTGACAGAAATAATATTATCATTGCCTTATGTGTAAAGAATATAATAGTTTACAAGAGGCTTTTGCACACTGCACATCACCACTCTCTGTGTTGCTATGGTACACTTGCCGTGCTTTACTCTCAGTACTTTTTGTTTGTTCATTTGTTTGTTCATTTAGTGATCTGTTTCCACCCATTATACTGTGAACTAATCAAGGGTAGGGACCAAATCTTCTTCATCTCAACAGACAGCTCAGTGCCTGGCATGGAAGAGATACCAGGAAGGGTCTGTTTTATGACCGGATGAAAGATATTCCTCCTTGTGCTTAGCTGGTGCTTGTCCACGTATCTCCTGGGGTCCTGAGGTCCATGACTGCAAGTCAGCATGAAAAAAAATTATAGCTTCCCTGAGACTCCCCTGAGCTTCCCTGAGACTCCCCTGAGCCCATGAGCAGAGGAACTCACAGCCTCTCTGACCCTGTCTCTCCCAGCCTTTGTGCTTCTGATCGGGGGCATTGAAGTCGGCCTGTCCCACTTCCCCTTCTTTGCCTGCCTCTCATCGGAGTTCCGGCTGGTCAGTTCTGTCCTGGGCTTCAGCTACTCTCTGGTCTGGTAAGACAGACTCTACCTGCCTGCCCTCCCATGATTCCTTTGGCTATGGCTAAACTCTGGACAAAGGGCTAGAGGTGTCCTGAGAGCTCTCCTTAGGAGGGCACGTTTGCCCAGAACTGAGGCCCAGGCTGGGCGGTCCACGGTCTCAGTGCAACCTCTCCTTGGTCTGCATTTGAGGCTTCAGAAGCTCAGGTGAGCATTCTGTGTGCTTCACGTGAAGCTGCTTACAATTAGAATATTTCTAGTAGTCAGAGATATAGAAAAAACTCCTTTCTGTAAACTGTCTCCCTGTCTGAGAGATAGAGGACGGAGGATGAGATCTCTCAGGCCATTGTGCCATTGTGGATTCTGGGAATGTGTCCTAAATGAGGGCATGTTAAATGAATTTAGTTGCATGTATTTTGGCACGACCAGGTGCCAAATCTGGGCGGGATGTACATGGAGGCCTGGGAACCAACCCTCCTAAGGAGGATGGGAGGGTGAGATAACTCCAAGTTGATGAGATCTGGCTTTTTTCACAGTGAGAAAGGAGGGGCCCCAGTACCCCAAGGCCTGTTTCTCTCTTGTAGGTTTGCCATTACCATCCTTCACATCACACAGTGTCCCCATGGGCAGGTGAGTCTCTACTGAGCTACATTCAGGGTATTCAGTCCTGTCACCATGGCCAACTCTCTGTGCAGCCTTGGACAAACCTCTGCCACTCTCTGGGCCTCAGCTTCTTCCTGTGTACAAAAGGGAAGTTGGAGCCATTCATGATACTTTCATTGATAGCATCTTATGTTTAGCAAGGTGCTTATTCTCAGACAGATGTTCTCTCAGTCCGTGCTCATAGCAGCCCCTCAAGGTGGGGAATCTCTCAGCAAACTCATTTTACAGGTAAGGCAACTGAGGTCCAAGTATATGAGGTGACTCTTAGGAAGTAGCAGATCTAGGAGTTGTGACCAGGTCTGGCTGATTCCAAAGCTCATTTCTTTCCACTCCTTCATGTTGCCTCGTTTCTCTGCCTATAGAAAAGGAGACTCAGATTAGATGAACCCCTCCCAGCTTTGTTATGCATTGTCCTTCTCAGAACTGGGAGAAACTGGTTCATCTATTTAGCCCTATACCCCAGGAAAAGGAGCAGGATGGGAAAGTGGGGGAGCACAAGGAGGCCACCTGGGCCAGGAGCCCACCAGAGCCTTGCCAAAGCCTTTCCAGGGCTTCAATAACTGTACGGGATTAAAAGGTGTGTTATAAATAGAGTCTGGGGAGCCAGAAAATGAGCCTTAGGAGCTGGGCCTTCCCTCTGCATCTCTGCCCTGGAATTGAGAGCATTCTGGTAAACCTCTCTCCCAAGTAGAGGCCCTCCTTCACACGGTTCACAGTGTCTGAGATTCCAGGGCACAGGTGTTTCTGTGGAGTCAGGGAGCATTTTCAGTCTTCCAAAGGTTCTTCTGAAATTCAGAATGTTCATGATTAATTGGGGGAAAGGGCAGAGTCTTACTTCTTTGCTCAGAGTCACTGACTTTAAGAACCATTGTATGTCAGTTGTTCTACGCTCAGTCTCAATCACTAACTGTAGAATCCTCAAGACGCTTTGAAGACAGTGTGTTAGTGTCATCCCCAGTTCACCGATAAGGAAGTGAGGCTCAAGGCTAACATCACTTACTCATGAAAAATCATGGGACTGGAGTCCAGACTAATATCTAGGTGATAATAAAGATTTGGTCTCGTGTTTTCACATGTATTTATGGAAGCATTATTTATAAAAATGCGACATTGGAAAGAGTCTAAAATATCAGATATTAGGAGAAAGCTTAAATAAATTTGGTTCATCTAAAGAATGCACTATTATACAGCATTACAAGTGATGTTTGCAAATAATCTGTAACCATGTGGGAAAATGACTATGATGTATACAGACCTATATGTTTGGTACAATCTCAGTTTATAATAGATGTCGATATTTGGATATAGATACAAATGAGAGACACTGAAATATTGACAGTGGATATGTCTAAGCTATAAGCGTAGGTTGGAGAGGAGGATGAAGGGAAGACATGAGCCCTCCACATCTTAGCACGTCACTATATTGCACCTGAACACCATGGAGGGAAATATAATAAAATATGAAACCAACCAGTAAATTGTGAAAGGTGTCACAATATTATTTATCTTAAAACAGTGGAAAAAATACTTTTTTTCCCCCATCAAAATGAAACTAAAAACACAAAAACTGTGAGTACAACCTTGAGAGACCTTTTACTTATGGGAGCTTGTTTTGCTGCCAACATGATGGCAGTTATGGGCCCACCCATCCTCCCTTCTTTCCTCCCTCTCCCTCTCCCTTCCTATCCCTTCTTCTCTCTTCATCTCTCTTCCTCTCTCTTCCTCTCACCCTCCCTCCTTCTGTTTTTCTCTCCCTCTTTCCCCTCTCTATCCTTCCCTTCTCTGTCTACTGTCTATCCCCTCCCCTTCTCTCTCCCTCATATTCTCCCTCCTTCTCTCCCTCCAAAAGGAGCATTTAATACCTAATCAGAAAAAAAGCCATGAAAGCCCTTTATGTAAAATAAAATGGGGGTGCTAAGATTCAAATCCAGGGCCACTGGACTCCAAGTCCACTGATTATTCTAGTGACATGGGGCTGATGGGGCAGAGAGCCAAGCTCTGAGACGGTGGGACTTGGTGGGACCAGGCCGGGGCACGCAGATTCCTGTCTACAGCTTCCCCAGGGCCTGGTCCTGATCCACCTACATCCAGCGCCCAGTGATCTGCTTCTGTTACAGTTTTGGGGGAAGTATGAGGCTGTCATATTCTACTGGCCCTCACTGCTGTGCCTGTCCTTCCTGCTGGGCCGCTTCCTGCACATGTTTGTCAAGTCTCTGAGGGTCCACTTGGGCTGGGAACTCCAGACGGTGAGTATAAGTATGAGGACTGTGTGTGTCCCAACAGGTTTAGTCTTCACAACAGTCCTGTGAGGTTGGTACTATTATTACTCCTCCCATTCTGTGTTAGGAAACATGGACCCAAAAGGTGACTTATGTTGCCCAAAGTCATGTACATAGTCTGTAGCAGAGCCACAACAGGAACCCAGACAATTTGTTGTTGGGGCTCTCTCTTAACCTCTGTTCTTTTTTTTTTTCTAATTCCTGGAGGTGTAAAGTTAGGTTGTTTATTTGAGAACTTTCTTTTTCTTAATGTAGATCTTTATCACTACAAACTTCCTTCTTAGAACTGTTTTTGACGCATCCCGTAAGTTTTGGTGTGTTGTATTTGCATTTTCACTTAAGATATTTTTTTATTTCTCTCTTGGTTTGTTCTTTGACCCATTGGTTGTTCAGAAGTGTATTGTTTGACTTCCACATATTTGTGAATTTTTCAGTTTTCTTCTTGTTATTGATTTCTATCTTTATGCCATTGTGGTCAGAAAAGATACTTGGTACTTAAATTTGTTAAGACTTGTTTTGTGGCCTAAACATTCTCCAGGACATGAGCCATCCTGGAGAATATTCCATGTGTTCTTGAGAAGAATATATATTCTGCTGCTGTCGCATGGAATGTTCTATATATGTTTATTTAGTCCATTGGTCTATAGCGTTGTTCAAGTCAGCTGTTTCCTTATTGATTTTCTGACTGGATTATCTACCCATTGTTGGAAGTGCAATGTTGAAATTCACTACTATTATTGTGTTGCTATTTATCCCTTCAGTTCTGTCAATATTTATTTTATATATTTAGGTGCTCTGATGTTGGGTGCACATGTATTTACAATTGTTATATTCTCTTGAGGAATTGACCCCTTTATCATTATATAATGACTTTTTTTTTGGTCTCTTGTGACAGTTTTTGACAGTCTATTTTGTCTCATATAAGTATATCCACCCCTACTCTATTTTGGTAACCATTTGTATGAAATATCTTTTCTTATTCATTTACTCTCAGCCTGTGTGTGTCCTTAAAGCTAAAGTTAGCCTCTTATGGTTAACCAATATTTGGAATTTTAAAAAATCCATTCAGCCACTCTATGTTTTTTGATTGGAGAATTTAGTCCATTTACATTTAGATAAATTATTGATAGCTAAGGACTTCAAATTGTCATTTTGTTAGTTTTCTGACTGTTTTGTTATTCTTTTCTTGCTTTCTTTGTGACATGATTTTTTTTTAGTGGTATGTTGGTATGTTTTCATTTCTTTTTCTTTATCTTTTTTTTTTTATACAGGCTTTTTCTTTGTGATTACCATGAGGCTTACATAAAATACCTTATAGTTATAACAGTCTCTTTTAAGTTGATAACCCCTTACTTTAATTACATAGAAAACCTCTACAGCTTTACTCTCACTTTCCCCCATGGGAGAATTTGTAGGCCAAGGGGGTCTCTCTGTGGAGAATGAGTAAAGTGAAACTGTTCTTCTTACCCTCTTTAATGCATCTATTCTCAGAGGTTTAGCTTGATTGGGGTTCTGGAACCTCCCAGGTGCACTCTTGGGCTCCTACAAGAATACTGTCATCTGTGGGTGGTTGTCAAAATTGGTGTCTCTGAGTGAGCATGAGGGTTGGAACCCCCACATTTCTCCATTCTTTTTACGTCACTCACCAGTCAGGATTTTAGCCAGATCTTTTGTACTCTACCCAACATCTGCAAAATATGAGACTTCATCCCATAGCATGTAAAATTTACATAATCAATCTATGTAGCATATAAATGGGTGACCATTGTGGAAAGCTCATTACACTTTGAGAAAACATTTTAAAACATACTGTTAAAGTTTATTTCTGTAAATACTGCAAAATAAGAAATGAACAAAAGAAACTCTTATTCATAAGAAGTGAAAATGCTGGGATTTTGGATGTTTCATTCCTAAAACAATGTTTTGAACTATGATGGGACATCACCAAATCTCAAAGAGAAAAAAAAGCCTTCACAGAACAATGACTGGTGCAATTTGTAAGCAAAAGAGTCAAGGAAGGCCATCCCTGTGGTACTTCATGAAAGCAAATGCTTGATAAACAGGAAACTGGACATCGCCCCTCTCCTCAGTAAATTACCAGTGTCTAGGAATGGCTGAATCCAAGAGAGCAAATTTTACCCAAATTCCTGCTCTCTCTGGCAATAACCCCTCAAAGACACCAAAACTCTAACAAGAATTTGTGAGCCAAAGCATATACCTCTCTCTTTTCTCACAGGAAGAAAAGCCTTTCCTGGAAGTTCACCAGGCAGAGCATGTCAAACAGCTCCTGCGGAAGCCCCCACTGCAGTAAGCTATGGTTTGATTCACCCACCTTTGGTGTTTGCATTAGTACGAATGAACCCTAACAGTGAGAGACCCTGAGATGACTACAGGGGCACCGTATTTGTCAGGACTCTTGTTTGCTCATAACAGAAACTCAACTCAAACTGGATTAAAGAGAAAAAGGAAACATGGCCTTATGTCATTTAAAAGTCTAGAGGTAGTCAGTTTCAGATACAGATAGCCCAGGGGCTTAATTGATATAATGAGAACTAGGTCTTTTCTCTGCATCTCTCCTTAGCTCTGCTTTTATCTGGGTTAGACTCCTAGTTAGATGGGCTCCCTTCCCATGGTGGCCCCCAGAATCTCTAAGCTCAGATCCTCCTGGTTTAACCTCACAGTAAAGAAAAATTTTCCTAATGAATTGAACAAAATTTTCATGAATGTATTTCTTTGGGTCAGATTGGACCACATGCCATCCCAGAACCAATTACGGTGGCTAGGAGATCAGAGTAAAGCCATTGTTAAACTTAGGTCACATGTTTACTACTGGAATTGGGAAGTAGTTCAGCCTCACTTAACCACCAGGAATGATGATGGGGGAGGAGCAGGTTCCCAGAGAAAACTCATATGCTGTTTACCAATAAAAGAAGACACAGCTCGTAGCTAGGTAAAACCACCTGGTCTTCAGTAATCATACAGGTCACTATACCCCTGCCTCTGCCACTGTGTACAAGGGGACATGTCCCAGAGAAGAGACGTGTCTATTCAAGGTCACACAGTGGCAAAGCTAGTACTTTTGTGTGAACTACATTTGGCTACATGTAGGAGAAAACAAAATAATAATGGTATAAACAAGAGAGAGATTTATTTCTCATGTAAAAGAATTCTGGAGGCTGCAGTTCATACTGACCCTGGACTGCTCACCTCGGCAGTTTACCAATCATCTGCCTTTTGTCTTGAGTACCTTAGTGGTTTCCATCATGGAGGCTGTTCATGGTCCAAGACAGATTCTGAAGCTCTACCCTGGACCAGCCACTATATCAGCATTTCAGATGGCAGGCAGGAGAAAAGAAGGAAGGGCAGTGAGGTCCCTTTTAGTTGTGCTGGTTCTACCTAAGCACCCTCTCCAAAGTCCTACATCATACTTCTGGTCACATCTAATTGGCCTGTACTTAATCTTGGTCACTCTTAGCTATAAGAGAGGTCAGAAACTACAGCCTCTTAGTTTGGTGAAGTGCCGCACCAAATAAAACTGAGTCTTTGTTCTTAAGAGTAAGGAGAGAATGAAAACTGGAATCCACCAGTGATCTTTCTCTTCACAAAACTCTAAGATGAACAGGAGGATATGTGGATATTTTAAGAAGACTCAAGTATTTATTTTACCAACTACAACCTGTCTTTTCTTGGTGCTTATTCATTCACAGGGAGAAAAAAAAGTCCTGGTTCGAAACCAGGATATATGAGTGGGACCCCTGCTTTCAGTTCCCAAGCAGAATGATTGGAACCACTGTGTTGGCTTTCATCTGCCTGTACCTTGTAAGTAGATCTGAGAAAACCCTTTTCTATTTTATAAATGAGATGAGGCTAGGATAGGGGTTGTTCTTAAAATGCTGGGTCAAAATTTAATCTCTTTAAGTCAAAGACGTACAATTCTTTGACCTTTTCATTTTGATTCTAAATAGCCATGTGGTGAATATTACTAATAAATCAAATTATTTATGGAGACTTCCAGTTGCCAATTCTACATGTAAAAGGCTTGCAAGGTGCCACTCCTAACAACAAGTAAAAAATATGAACAAACTGAAAAATCAACAGCTCTTCTTAGATCCATAAGAGAAGTGAGGTCACAGGGCAAACCATTACCTTTAAAATTGGAGAGACACGTAAATATAGAGAATTACAACAGAATGGAGCAGAAACTCCATGGGAACCAGTGCTGGGGCAGGAAAATCTGAACTGTAGACACCATCAATAATTGGGTATTTTGGACATCTACAGACTACTTCATCAACAACAGTAGAAGATGCATTCTTCTCAAGATTACATGGAAAATTCACCAACATAGACCATATCCTGGACCATAAAATACACCTTAACAAATTTAAAAGACTAGAAGTTATGCGATGTCACTTTGAGACCATAATGGAATTAAGCTAGATATCAATAACAGAAAGATAACTGGAAAAATCCTGAAATAATGAAAATTAAACAGCACAGTTCTAAGTAACATATGGGTAAAAGAAAAAAATCTCAAGAGAAATTAAAAATAGTTTGAACTAAATGAAAAGGAAAACACGGCTTATCAAAATATGTGGGAGGCAGCAAAAGCGGTGCTTAGAGGGAAATTTATAGCATTGAATGTATATGTTAGAAATGAAGAAAAATCTAAAATCAATAATTAAGTTTCTACCTCAGGAAATACAGTCCAGATTGGTGCTGACACGATATATGTCACAAGGGAAATGCAAATTAAAACAAGGACATACTACTGTACACCTATTTGAGTGGCCAAAATTCAGAATACTGACAGCACCAAATGCTGGTGAGGATGTGGAGCAGTAGTAACTCTCATTCATTGCTGGTAGAAATACAAAATGGTATAGCCACTTTGGAAGACAGTTTTGGGCCCTTACAAAAGTAAACATGCTCTTACCATGTGATCCAGCAATCGTCCTTCTTGGTATTTACCCAAATGCATTGAAAATGTATGTCCACACAGAAACTTGCACATAGATGTTTATAGCACCTTTATGCATAATTGCCAAAATGTGAAAGTGAACAAGAGTCCTTTAGTAATTGAATGGATAAATAATCTGTGGTATATCAGGACAATGGAATGCAATTCAGTGTTAAAAAGAAATGAACTATCAAGCCACGAAAATACATGAAGGAAACTTAAACGTATATTACTAAGTGAAGATGCAAATCTGAAAAGGTGACATATTCTATGATTCCACCTGTATGACATTTTGAAAAAGGCTAACATTATGGAGACAGTGAAAGATCAGTGGTTGCCAGGGGTTAAGAGGAAGGGAGGGTTGAATAAGTGGAGCACAGAAGATTTTTGGGGCAGTAAAAATACTTTTTGTGATGGTAGATACATGTCATTAGACATTTGTCCAAATCCATAGAATGTACAATACCAAGAAAGGACCCTGATGTAAACCATGGACTTTGGGTGATAATGGCATTTCAGTGTTGGTGCGTTACTCGTAACACATGTACCACTCTGGTGGAGGACAGCGATAATGAGGGATGCTATGCAAGTAAAAAAAAAATTACATATTAAATCATACTGATAATGGTTAAGCCTGCACATGGTATAATTTATTATTGAAAAATTGATGGGAGAAAAATATATTTGAAAACATTTTAATATGCAAAATTTGACCCAGGGATGTTGACTTGGTAGAAATGATGATACCTACAGGAAACTTACAGCAGCAGAATCTATGGTCAGCAAATTATGTTGTGAGCAAAAATCCGGTCACTTAAATATAAAATAATTGATCTTGGCAAATAATTTCAGTGAATTAAAAATAAAAGTGGATAAACTTACTATATTTCAAAAAAAGGATCAAAACTTAAAATGTCTGTTTTCATTTTGCTCTAAATTTCTTTCTCAACAACAAAAAGAATCTAATGGCATAATCAGACTTCACTATACATTTTATTAAGCACAAAATCAAAACATGTGGTCAAAGTTATCTGGGGTAAAATGTCTAGGTCAAAATGTGGGGATAAAAATGGCAAGGCCAAATTGTCTTTGGCTCATTTTAAATGTACTCAGATACCTATGTAAATTAATCCTGTGACTAAGTTTTAAGCAAATGTATTAGTTAAGTTAGGCTGAAGTACCACGTATACTGCTATATTTTCGTGACTTAACACTAAGTCAAAGGCCCGCATGGAAGTAGCACACATTCCTTCCACTCATCTTCCATTGGCAAGAACCTTGTCATGTGGCCACATTTAACTCAAGGGAGGCTGGGAAATGTAATGCAGCTTTGTGCCAAAAGAAGCGGAGAATGGATTTTAATGGACAACTAGAGCTCTCTGCAACAGCGAATAATTCACTTGGAGTTATTTGTTTTCTGAGTCTTTGTTGGTTATTTACTGTATGCTAAGCACTATGCTAAGACTTGGAATAGAAGAGAGTTGATTTGAGAGAGTCTTGGCCTGGGAGAAGCCATATTCTAAGAGAAGGAGATTAGATATGGTATGGAGTACCTGCCATCTAAAGAGAGAAAGAGGAAAAGCGAAAGCATCTGGAAGTGAACTATTAGTGAATTATTCTAGATTAGAAGCTGCCTGAAAGCGATAGCATTCGAGCTTCACATTCATAGAGAAACAAAATTCAGTTGGTGAAATAAAATAGCGGCAGGATCTCTGGAAGCAATGGCATGATGGTGGGGCATGATGGCATCATGACAGGATGATAGGAGTGAGCAGGCATGACATGCGTACAGGCAACAGTACCTTCTCCAATTTGATTATCACCAAGATGCAAGAAGGCGAGCAGGAGAGAGAGGGCTGGAATCGTCCCCAAGGTCACCCCTCATCCAAAGTTAGGCATTCATTTCACTCCAATATGATTAACATTTGAAGATATTCTTTGAGCCTTGCGGGGCCTTGTCTTCTATACTGTAGTGTGAAGAATAGAGTTTGGGGTGACTCCTGTCTCCAAAGAAGTCACAATCCCACTCATCTCGATATAGCCTGTCCAGAGAGCCTTATTTCAGATGAGTTTTGAAATTCAAAGACTTTTGAATTAAAAATCAAAGAGAACCACATGTTGTTCAAATACTAAGGTGAACTCAAGTGAGACCTTGGAACATTTTCTCTGTGTCCCCAGTTCATCATCATTGAGTTCTGCATATTCATGTATGTGAGAGATGAGCTGAATGTGCTTGAGGGTGAGTTGGAGAGCTACATCACCTCCAAGAACCAGACGGGGACCCTGGCCCCAGTCATCCTGCGGGTGAAAGAGCTGATGAATGTCACCAAAGGTAAAACCATCCTTGCACATGGTCGCTGTTTAACGGGGTGAGTCACCCCTCAAAAAGTGGCAATTAGAAATTCAACTATTAATGATCTTTTACAAGGACAGGTGCTACCTATGATGTACATACTCTATAATTTTTCTCTTTCTGTTACTCATGGGATTGAAAATATTAATACCAAAGGAGTGGATTGTGCAGGAAACAAAGTATATCAAGGCTGTGTGGCTAAAATGAAAAAGAAATATAAGCAAAAATTTAGTTATACAAGAAACATATTAAAGGAAGTGTACTTTTTTCCCAGACCTTCCTGATCTGAGGTGGGTTTCTGCATTTTGAGAAATACTGTTTCTGATTCATCTTCTGAGGCTTCTTCTATCACCATTTCTGTTTCAGGAGTCTGGGTGGTGACCATTTTGCCTGCCTCCCTCACGTGTATAAGCTATCTATTCCACATTTTGGCTTGTTACAGGTAAGAGAGCACTGGGAGTCATTTGTGTATCTTCAGCCAGGGAAGTGTCTGACAGAATTTTCTAAGAAGTCCCAAGCAGTGCCAGCAGTGCCCAAACTGGAACCAGGAGTGTGTACAAGGTCCAGGGACAACCACATCTATTGTTAATAAGGAAAAAGAAAAAAAAAAGCTGCTGATTTGAGCTTCTACTGCAATCTAGAAATTGTGTTAGAATCTTTTGATTTTCACCACAACTTTGAGAGGTACTTTCATCTTCGTGTTTATAGCTGAGAAAGCTGAGATTCAGCAAAATCTCTTGCTTAAGCAATTAGCAGCCGATCACGTCTTCTGACCCCAGAGACCTTGTCATGTCTTGTATATTCCGGCACCTATTAGGTGTCAGACCTGCCTCACTCTCCAGGACTCATCCCACTGGGCTCCTAGCAGATAATGTGGCTCAAGGGGACATCCAAGGAGATTGGGTCAAGGGGGCCAGGTGCCTCAGTCTCAAGAACAGGAGGAGGAGTTGGCCTTCAATACATAGCAAGCATTTGTATGTAGACAGTAGTTGAATTTTAGGTATCTACTGCTTCCTTTTCTGTCTCTGCCTTTGTGTCTGTCTGTCTGTCTGTCTGTCTCTCTCTCTCTCTCTCTCTCTGTCTCAGTCTCTAACTCACACTTTTCCACTGGCTCACAGGAAGCCCAAGACCAATTCTCACCCCTTCAGAGCATCCTGCCTTTACATCCTTCCCATCTGGCTACCCAAAGGGTAGATCTCTTGCTGTCGGCATCCAAGAGAAGACTCTCCTGGCATGAAGGGGCCCAAGCTCCTGATCCTCACCCTACCTTGCTCCCTCTGTTCACTTCCTTCTCCCTGGATCTCATGGGTGGACTGGACACTGCTACTATCCTGTGTCCTATCTGATACAGGGAGATATCTGCTCACTCCTTGCTTTGTTAGGCTGGGAGATTTTCACTGAGACATTTGACCACAACCAGGGACAATTGCTGTGCAGAGTGGGCTGCATGGACATGGGTGGAGGGCAGCTGAGGGCACAGGGTAGAGAAGGCACCTGCTGTGAGGAGGCCTCGTTTCTGTCCAGGCTGGCCCTTCCCTCCCACACTGCAAACTAGGAAGCACTAGCACTGTGCCAGTATTTTTGTTTTTCTTAGCATTGTTCAAACGTACATACAAACTCTTTTAAAAAAAAAGTTACAAAAATGCTTAGCGTAAAGGAAGTCTTCCATTCAGACCCTATTTTGTTGCCCCAGAGTTAACATTGATATCCACTTTCTGAGCATCCTTCCAGAAAATTTCTATGCCACTATATCTGTGTGTGTTTGTATTCCTGGTAGCACACTTTACTCCAGTGCCGTCAAACAGAAGCACAGTGAAAGCCACAGATGCGATTTTGAATTTTCTAGTAGACAATATTTAAAAAGAAGAGAAATGAAAACAATTTGATGATATATTTTATTTAACTCAACATAACACAATTACCATCATTTCAACATATAATAAATATACAAACTATTAGTGAGATATTTACATTCTTTACTTCATACTAAGTCTTCCCAATTCAGTGGTCATGAAATTGCAAAACATCCTGGAAAATGCTGGAGATGGAATGTTAAGAAAAAAGCAGGGCCCAGATGTGAATTTGGACTGTGACGATAGCTACACCAACCTAATCTTTATGCAAAAGTCTAGGCCTAGACTAACACACGGGAAAAATATTCAGTGATTTCTTGGGATGCTGGGATTGTGGGCGGTCATGGCCCCTTTATCATTCCCCTTTATGTTGTTAGAAGCCGGGGCTATCATTAAAAATGTTTTTCTGTTTTTATCTAAGTTATTATTACATAAGTAATTCATGTTCATTGTAGAAAAAATAAGAAAATAGAGCAAAATGAAGAAAATAAAAGCCTCGCGTACAGTGTCAATGATCACATTTATTCACCATTAAGACTAGATAACTATATATTATTTTTACAAAATATGTTAAATTTAAGATCTTTAAGGCTAATCAGAACCATCCCATGAGCTGTGGACAACACGGGAAGCTGAGCTCCCTCCTCAGGCCTTTAAACCTGTTCAACTCTAAGTGCATGAGGAGCTTTCGTTATGAACATTACTGACTTTCCGCCTTTTCTCTAGAAAGCACATGAAGAGGTTGTGGGCAGGAAATAAACACTTTCTCCCTCTGAAGTTCCATAATCCTTCCTCGTCGGAGAGTGTGGTAAGTCTGCAGAAGGTTCTTTCTGCCGCGAGACTAAATGATTTATCAAAACCTGCTCCCCTGCACCTCAGACAGGGCAGCATGCTGGGGGAGAAGGACCCTCAGACTGGGAATCCAGAGACCTCAATCCTAGTACACTCTGCTGCTGGGTGACTCAAGACAGTCATTCTCTCCACGCGGCCATCAGTTGGTTTCTTCTGTAAAATGAGGACAGTCACAACTCTTGCCTCAGTGGGTCAGTGGGTGAATCTCAGATGAGCCAGGAATGCTGGACACATGTTAGAGGTGATCAAGGTTTTCTCCCCACTGAGACCCCTTTACTTTTTAAATTTTAGGTGGCCATTGCAAGGTACTCTGGCTGGCAAATAGCCTACATTCTGTGGGGTAAGTGCCATCATGTGACCCATTCAATTCAACACCCGTGTCCTGGGCACCTGTGGAGTCCTCGTGCGGGTAGGGAGGAGAGGCAAGGCAGAGACAGCCCTAGCTCCTGCCCTGAGGGACCTTGAGAAAGGAGGAGAATCACGTACCCATATAGGTCATTATCATCATCTGTCCTGAGCCCACAGGGCAGTGGAGACCCAGAGGAGGAAGTAACTGTCCACACCTGGGGCAGGCATGAATACAGTCTAGTGGAGTTGACATTTGAACTGTACCTGGCAGCGTGAGCAGACAGTCAACAGGAAGAAAAGGAAAGGCATGCCAAACAGAAGAAACAGCATTAGCAAAGGTGACAGGACCTCTGGTAGGAGGAAGGTAGAGTGGAGACTGCTGGCAGGAACAAGTGTGACTGGACCACAAAGGGCCTTGAGTGACAACCAGCTCCTTTGGCCCATAGGCTACCTCATCATCCACGTGGTACAGACCCTGTGTGGCGTGGCGATCATGTACAGCCTGGTGTTGCCCATCATCCACAACCGGATGGAGATGCTACAAGGACTGGGCATCGGAATGTAAGTGCTACATGGGCTTTCTGTCATCGCCCAGGGCCTGGGAGCTGGTGGGCCCTTATAGCTGCTGTTCTAAATGCCCCTTTCTTGCTTGGCTCTCACCAATCCCTGGACCTAGGCTCTGAGCTCTGATCCAAGGAAGGGCCAGAATAGTAGCTCATCTCAAAATATTTATACAAATAATATAATATTTATACAAAATATTTCCACTCTCATTGTTCAAGGGGTCTTCACGATTATGTCTGTGGGGTATACACATATGTCCGTTTTATAGCTGAGAGCTGGGCAATCTGAAAGCAAAGTCTCGACTAACCACTACCTCACCCTGCCGCTCATTGATGCTCTTTGTGGAACTCCCTGCTCTGAGCTCCTTGCTTCCATACTCACCCAGAGCTACCTGTGAGTCTGGGGCAGAGCCTGCCCTGTCCACTCTTGCATGGCATTCATGAGCTCTTCTGAAAATCCCATTCCTTTCTTCGATCCCCATGCTGTTGAACCACTCATCCCAGTTGCCACCCCTGGACAAAAGGACATAATTAAATCTGGAGTTGTGGTCTAGAGACAGAAGACCTGACCATGTGCCTTTAAGAAAGTCATCTCCCCTTTGGGAGCCTCAGTTTTCTCATCTGCACAGTGGGCGTGCGAACACTCTGTAGGCATAAAGCACAGAGCTCATACTCCTGTTGGCCCTGAGGGTCATCTCACTCCTCTTTTCCACTGGGCATTCGAGAAGGGCTGGCGAAGAGTGGACAAGGCCACCTCAGGATGGTCTCGCCCTGTGTTTCAGCCTCACCATATCCATCGTCCTGGGTCTCATGATCCTGCAGGTATGGGTCGCTGCCAGCCTCTTCCTGCAGCCGAAGATGGGCACAGCTGACAAGCAGAAGCCATTGGCGCTCAACAACAGGTGAGGGCAAAGAAGGGAATGGCGATGGTAGGACTTTGGCCTCAGCAGTCTCTCGTTCCTCTCTCTTCATCGTTGACAGGCTCTTTGGTGGACCCTACGCTCTCTGAGAGGGCGAAGGGTGGTGGTTCTGGAGGGGGCTCTGGAGCCAAACTGCTTGGGTCCAAATTCTGGCTCTGCTCTGCCGAGCTGTGTGACCTTGCGTGACCTTACTAGACACTTGTCAACCTCAGTTTCCTCATTTTACAAATAATTGTGCATACCTCAAAGGCATTCTGAAGATAAAATGTGTTCAAATATGAACTTAGAACAATAGCACCTGGCCTGTGGTAATTTTTTTCTGATTCATTAATTCAAAGCCATTCACTCATGGAGAAAACATGAGCACTGAGAATAAAGAGATATCCCCTCTGAGAAGCTCATGTTCCACTGGAGCTGACAGACACAGATATCCAGGGTCGGTAGATTCCAGAGAGTGTGCAAGGATTACAAGAGAAACACGGGTAATAGGAGGAGAGGCAGGAGTGGTTAACACCGCTGTACGTGGGAGGTTTCAGCCGAGGTCAGCGGGATGTTAGGATTCCTACAGGTGGAGATGAGGACCCGCATGGCTGGCAGCCCGCACTGCACAGATGAAGGTGGAAAGCCATGAAAGGGCAGGACGAAAAGTGAGAATCCGATATGGTGACCATGCAGTAGCCTTAGATGGTGAGGTCCAGGGAAGGGGCACAAGGTAACGATGCCAGAAGAGGCCCTCTCAAAGATGGCCCAGAAATTCAAGATGCAAGTTTGGGCTTTATCCCATAGGCAACAGGAAACCACATGATCAAGTGGTCATTTGGGAAATTTCATCTGGAGGACTTGGAGCAGTTCCAGCTGGGGACAGGTCACTGTTACAACAGACAGTGAGAAAGCCACAACCTCTGTTATAACCACAAAACCAGCTGTGGCCACGTGAGATTTCTTATCATACAAGAGTCCTCAAAACTCAAGGATCCCATCAGACATTACAGTTGCCACCAACATTCGTCCTGCACTATGCTCAGAGTCCCCCATGCTCTGTCTCAGCCAGGCTTCGCACCAGTGCTGTGAGGTCGGGACAGTCAGTTCCCATGTACAACATAGGATCATACCACTAGAAGCCGGGAGATATAGGATTCGACCATAGGTCTGGGGGTGCCCTGAGTCCTCCTGCCTGGCCACTTTCTCATACTGAAAGGGTGCCACCCCTCCACCTGCTTCCACTTGCAGGAAAGTGTTCCACAACTTCAGCTACTTTCTGTTCTTCTACAACGTGCTGCTGGGCCTGAGCGCCTGCCTCTCCAGGCTGCTCACCAGCTGCATCCTGGGCACGTGGCTGATCGCCCGCATCGACAGGACCATCATGCAGAGTGGCTACGAGAGAGCAGACATGGGTAAGTGGCCTACACCTCTGCAGAGGGCTGGACTTGCCACCTTTGTAGAAGCTGCCTGGAGGTCGAGTAGCAGAGGCCTAGAGTTCACTCTTCACTGGTCCTTAGAGCTGATCTTCCCAGGGAGGCTAGAACACTGAATAGGAACAAAGAAAACATTTAGCCCAATCGCCAGAAGGAATTCAGGCTATTAAATACCTGTGTATTTGACAGACCTTGGAGGTATAACGGTGTGCAGTAAGAGATCATGGAATTCGATCTGAACAGTGAGAAGATAATTTATGAACGCATGGCCCTGAAAATTTTGAGAAAGATCACATCTAAGAATTATTGGTTATTAGTTGGAAACTTCGTTAACAGTCTGTTCAGTTGAAATACTCCAAAATCAAAGCCATTTCTGTAAAGCAAAAATCGTTTTTGTTCTATTTCTGGCCTGTGCCCATTCATTCACACATTCATTCATTATAAGACTGATGGCTTCTCCATATTAGCCACAGTGGCTCCTAGCTCCTTTGAGCTTCTAGTTCTCCATAAAATGGACAGATTAGAATGTGATCTTTAAGAAGCCTTTCAGCTCTTTATACTTAATTTTCTAGATTCTCAGCAAAGACATGGGAACAGTTTAGGAACAAAGCGATGCTACACTTAAGTCATAAAAAGCATAAGCTGGGCCACCCTGGGATGTGCTGCATAGCCTGGCTTGCCTTCTGGATTTCAGGGTTCAGGGCTTGGATTGGCATGCTCTTTGTGGACCATTATCATACCAACCCGGTGCTCGTCAGCTTTTGTCACATCCTGATCACAGGCCACAGGGAGAGAAGTCTGCAGCAGGCCATCAAATACGGGTACCTAAATCAGTCACCAGGTGAGTCTCCTATCTGAACCTATCCTGGGGTTGGATACCAGGAAACAGGTATCCTACGGGTTTTCTGGGATCCCTGAGATGTCCAGGTTCCCCCTTCCCTGCCCCACATCCTCCGCACTCCATGCCCTGGGGAATCTTCTACCCAGGAGATAAAGAGCCTTAGCTCCCAGTCAGCCTGGTAAAGGGACCCCTGAGGCCTTGTGTCCTTGTCCTTCTAACTGGACTCCTCCCTTGTTCCCAGAAATGAGCTCTAATTCTGCTGAGTCTTCCATTTCCCAGTTTTTGAGACTCGATGCATATCCCAGGCTTCAGGCCAGGTGCCCTCCAAGATGGTGCTCAGTTGTACGTACTGCAGCTCTCCTGGCCGCCAACTCCTGGCTTTATACTGTCTACTCCCACCCCTCCCACCATTATTATTCTGCTCTGCTTTCTGCTGGGAAGCCCCCAGTTAGCCATGTCTTGTCAGCACCAATCTGGACTGTGTTCACCATTATTCCTAACACTACAGATAACACCCAGCTCTGTGGGACAAACACACATCCCTCCAGTCACTTTCATGTCCCCAGGAGTTCTGGTGTAGCTTCTTCTCCCACTTTTATCCCACGCTTCACACTTCCTGGGCAGTTTTTCTTACAGCCACTGAGAAGGACAGAAAGGATTGCCCTCTTCCCCCAGTCTAGCTGCTCTGATTCTATCCTAGGTCACCGCATCTCAGCTAGGTCTAGGACAAGGTGGCTCCTGCTGCAGACTCTGATCAACAACCCCAGACTGGTCATGCTCAGAAAATCAAAACCAAGTCGTGGCTCCCGGGAGTTTACCCAGCCTCTGCTGACTTGCTCAGAGAGCTGACACTGACTTCCAACACTGCTCCAAGGCCATTCCAGGATGACTGCCCCTCCGAGAGAAGACCCTGGCTACCCAGCAGCTGCCATTGCAGTACATGGAATGCACAGCCACTGTCCACGTAGATGGCACACAGCACCAGCCGCTCACGGGATGGCATCTGCCTTGAACAATGAAGTCTCAGGTCTAATTTGCTCCCTAGGCAAAAAGATCAAGAACTAAAAAGAATGTCTATTGAACAAACTTTGCCCAACCATGATGTCTGCTCTCCACAGTTAGCGGGCAGCCTTGGGGAATTCCATGTTGAGAAGCACATAGTTTGACCACAGGGCAGAACTCGGTATCACTGAAGAGGTGGTTAGATTTCTATATCAGAAAGGCCTTGTGTCCTTGTTCTTCTGATGCAATTTTTCTTTAACCATCTGATGCAGTTTTCCTCTGGAGGAAACTATGGTGCTCATTGCTTCCTCCTTTCCTGGCCTTGTGGTAGAGAGAAGGAAATCCATGATCCAGACTCTAATCTGGTAGGGTGAGCAGGCACACACTGAGCTCTCTCTGCCACAGCCAACCGGGATGAGGAACAGATCAGAAGTGACCTGTACACAAAGATGATGTACAAATTCTCTCTGGCAAGGGGGGATCACCCGGGAAAACTGAAGAGCCATAGACAGGCTATGCAGGTATTCTAGGTGGGGGACAATAAGAGCAAAGGTACGGGGGAAGGAAAGACACAGGCATGTTTAAGGAGGGTGGGCCCTCAGGTGTCTGCAGTGCAGGGTGCTGGGGCCTGGTCAGACCATCCAAGGAGGCCCAGATGCCAGGCTGGGAGCCTGGCCATTTCTCTTTGTGCAGAGGGCCCACTACTTCTTCCAAATTCTTCACACGCATACATGAGGTCTCTGGTGGCCTGGGACTTATACAAAGTCTGACCATTCAGAGTCACTCATGAAGCCTGTGCAAGCGCCAGGACGACCCACCAACAGGGTAAGGGAAGTCCCCATCCACCTTACAGAGCCACCGAATTTCAGTAATCATTATTACAGGACTGTAAACCCAATCCTGTTGCTAGGTGTGTTTGCCAGACATTTCCTTTAACTTGATCTCCACAGCTAAGTTTTGTCATTCCACTTTTAGAAACTGAGAAAACTGGGACTCAGAGTGTTGGGAGCCCCACACCACCACTTCCTAGCTGTGTGACATTGGCTGAATTACTTTGCCTTTCTGTGCTTCCTTTCCTTACATATAAAAAGAGGTAATACCTGCAACACCCACAATTATTTTGAGAATAGAATGAGTTAATACATATAAACACTCCTAAGCTCGTGCCTGAGATATCCCGAATTCTCAATAAATATCAATCATGGCTATTTGTAATGTTATACTTTGTGGTGATCTGATTAATGTCTGCCCACCTCTCACTATGCTCAGCTCCATGAAGAAAGGGGCCTGTAATGGTCTCCCCTGAGGTAGTTTTCTTGCAAATTACTGCTCATTCTCGGAACCTACACCACCAGCCCTTTGCTTACAGACCTATTAATAAACTTGGCCCCAGAAGTCACCTTGGTTAGCAAAGGAGAGTGTGGGGGTCTTTCTGTGACCAAGTATATGGACCCTTTTCCTGGCAAAGCAGAACTCATTCACGATCTACCAGGTCCCAGCCAGGGAGAAGTGGCCATGATGTCCCTGACAGAGAGTCTGGGGTCCTCTAGGGAATTTGTCTTAAAAAGAATTGTGTGGGCAGGGATGCTGGAAATCTTTGTTCATAGGTAGCATGAATGTTTATGGAATGAGGCCCAGCTGTAGCCTTAAAAGATACATCACCAGTCTTTCCCCTGGACGTGAAACAAGCAGGAATTCAGAGGTCATGGACAAGGATCCCAGAGGGCTTCAGATCTAGGTAAAGAATAATCATGGGGCCCCTAGAGGGACTATAGATGGAAAATCCTGCCTGCCCTTAGCCCATGTGCAGATTATCTTCCTCTGGCCTTGTCCTTTCCACATGCAGAGAAGTAGGAGACCCAGTAAATTACGGGTGGAGGCTGGCATCAAGTACAACTTCCTGGGGGAGGGGCTTTACCCATATCTAAGGACAGTTAGGACCTAGATGGTCCTACTCTCAGGGATGGAGGGCTTCCATATGTGCAAACACCCAGGACCAGCCCCCTCACTCCCTCCTCACCCCCGACGAGGCCCCTGCAGCATCTATCCAGGCCCTGTTGGCAGCCTATCCATCCCTTTGGCCCAGGAAGAAAAAAATGATGAGAGATCATGCTGCTCTAGGTGGCTGCAAATTATTACAGTCTCAAGCCTGAGGAGCAATTTGGGGCCTGGTTTCAGGAAACAGAGCAGCTTAGTGAGAATGAGAGGTAAGGCTGGGCAGGAGTCGGATGAGAGCAGTTACAGACTTTTCCCTTGGCTCCAGAGTTTATGTTATGAAACTCTTCCAATAATTGTAAGAAGCAGAGATGGAGCAAGGAGTGTCTTTCCTAGGGGGTCTCTGAATTCCACTTCCCTACCATCCCCTGCAGTGAGTGCCATAGCTGCTCACCTTGTTCCTTTTCTGGAGGTTGACCTGATTCCCCTGGGAAGCAGAGAGCCAGGTCCATCAGAAGGAGCCCTCTAGCCCACAACTAGTCCCCCATCTTCACCCCTTCTCATGTTGCACTATCTCAGGATCCTCTAGGGGGCAGGGCACACGCAGAAAACAGGACTGGGACCTAGGCCAGACAGGATCCAGAGTTGGGGGAATGTGGGAGCTGAGGCTCAGGGACCAGCTAGCCCAGCCCTCCCTGATGACAAACGGGGAGGCCTCCGGCAGGAAGGAACCAGTCAGCCACTCATGTGCTACCTGACTTGGAGGAACCTAACCTCTCTCTCCTCCGTGGGCACTGTCTGAGGGAGAAGTTGAGTCCAACTCCAACGAAACCTCCTGCAGCTTTGCATTCAGACAGCTCTACTGCTTCACCGGTCAGGGGAACCACGGTGTCTTATGCGAAGCCTCCGTTCACTCATCCCTAAGACAGGCATGGCCGCCCAGCTCACAGGGGTGGCTATGAGGCTGTCATGAAAGGAGGTTTGCCAAGTGCCGAGAACCCAGGGCTTGGTGTGGGGGCCTCTCCTACCAAGTCTCAGGATCCAGGTTCCTGCTGCCCCACCCTCAGTCTCACTCACCTCCGGATAACCCTCCATCACAGTGTCCGCGTCGCCAAGTCAGGGAAGAATGTGCCAAGGAAGGACACAGCAATCAGAGTGGGAGCAGCGGTGAGCCCCTACTCTCAGGTGTCCCCCCTACCCTCCCCTGAAAACTCACCCTCAACCTCCTGGCCCATGGGGAGCTCCCTAGACCCCTTAGCAGCCTCCCTCAATTCTGCGTTCCCTCCTGCTCCAAGAAAACCAGACGACTCCTGATCACCTCCCTGGGTCTGCTTTTGGCAAATCACAGGATATGTGATCCCAGGGCCCCTCCCTGGCCCCAAATCAATCCTGCACCCAGCTCTTCAGGCCCTCTTCCCGGTCACTTATAAGGGAGGATGTCAGGCGCTGTGGGAGCAGGAGGCAGGCCTGCGGGAGGAAGCCCCTTCTCCCTTAGTCTGGAGGCCTCCAGCTGGGAGGGAGGAGCCCCCCACCTCTGACCCCACAGGCACACTCATCTGATGCTGCTGCTGCCTCTTCTGGGCTCTCTAGGGGATCATCTCCAGGATCGCACACTTGCAAGGCTGCTGCTGCTGCCAGGATCCAGGACAGGGTCACTGAGGACACACTCTCCTCACCCCATTCCCCCCAGAACTTTTAATCTCCTCTGACCCTGGACCTCTGACCCAAGTCGCTGCCAATGCTACTCCGCCCTGCCGTGTGCTCTTAATTCTAGAACAATTCCAGCTCCAGTGCGTGGCCTGGGGCCTGGGGCCTGGCTTCCCTGGGCCTGTTTCCTTATCTGGAAAGTGTGAGAATTCCACCTACCTCCAAGGTCTCCCAGGACTTCATGTCTTATTACTGTCATCATTGTTCTCCCCTCAAACCTGTAGGCAGATTGGGGCAGAAAGCTCCAGCACATTCCTTTCTTCTCTTGAACCTTGCCACCACCCTGTGAGGCCTGCACCACAGGATTATCACCCTCTGTTTTTCAGATGAGACAGAGGCCCAAAGAGGGGCAGTGACTTTTTCAGAGCCCCACAGAGAAAAAGTTGCTTTCTCTCTAGCCAGAGGCCCCATCCCAGGTGCCTTCACCCTGCCTCATCCCCACCACTGACCAGAGTCCTGTCCTCTGGGCTCTCGATGTGTGTCTAGGTCCCCAGCTGGGCTGAGCCATGGGTAGAAAGGGATGGGTGTCTCCGGAGCCTGGTTGAGCAATGCCTTCCTGCCCTACCCCCACTGGGGTCTCTGCCCCGCCGGCTGGGCCTGGGGCTGTGCCAATGGCTTCACTCGGACACCCCTTTGCACAGCAGTCTTTATCCACTCAGGAAGGAGACTCCAGAGGTGTCCTCCTGACTGACAGTGTAAGGGGTTACCAGGGCACAAGGTGGTAACACTTCCTCTTTTACATGAAGCTTATGACTTTTATTCAGGAAGGATCCACTAAGAATCAATCCATCAGTTCTCCAGACTTAAAAGCTATCTAGGGCACATGTCATTGCCAACTAGACACCCAGGTGAAAATCCTGTGATTAACAGTGACTGCTATAGGGGCAGAGAGAGGGGAGTTGCAGAATGCACATCTATTTGTCCCTGGTCCAGCCATTCTGACCCAAGGCAGCCCTTTTGTCCGCCTGGCCTGTGGGATTCCCCTGCAGTGCCCATCACTGGTGCAAGCAGGGTGCCCCTTTCCTTGGAGAGGCAGTGAAGACAGGATCAGCAGCTGGGGCCTGGCTTTCTGAGACCAGCCTTCTGCTAAAGGCAATCCAAGCTGAATAGAGAGACATATCTGTCCTGCAGCAAACACCTTCAATGGCTTCTCTGAACTCCTGTATTTGACAGCAACCAACATATAAGCATGCTCAGAGAGAGGAGAGGTGACAGGCTGAGGAAGGTGATATGGGTGGTACAGGCTGAGTGGATGAGGTACTTGTAACTGGTAGTGGAATGGAAGTATGGACGGGTTTAGGATGTGTGCAGACAGGCAGATGAGGCAGACAGGGGTAGGATGAGGAAGGGCAGGATGGCAGGGGCATATGCAGGAAGAGTGAGGACTTTGCTGAAGCAGGGAGAGTCAGGGTGGCCACCAGAGGTGGAGGCCTCTGTGGTCATCTAGGGACTGTGCTGGATTCAGTAAGGGCTGCAGAGTTGGTGAGGGCCTTCTGAGCAGGACAGTGGGAAGGTCAGAGCTGAATTTTAGGAGGATTAGGTGGCAGTGGTAGATTGGATGAATAGAAATCAAAGGGCCATATAAATTTGCCTTTTTATCATAACTCCATCAAACCTTGGGGTCTGAATTCTGACCCCTTCAATTTCTTCAAAATTGAGAAACTGAGAAAGACACAGTCTCTCTTAGAGATGCTGATTCTTATAGTTAAGCACTATTCTGCTACTTCCCAGCACAGGTTGGTTTTAGTCAAGGCAAAGATAGGATGGATTTTCTAGACCATAATTAATGACTCAGAGCTCCGTTTCCTGTCTCCTACTAGTTTTCAGAACATTTAGTGTGCTGCTCTGAACCCTCCTGACAGCCCCGAGATAACCTCTGCACGGAGGAACTGGCCTAGAGGGAAGGGATTGACTTATAGTTTTACAACTCCACGTAGGAGGTTGGGGGGAGGAGCGTGCGCGCTCCAGTTGCTAAGGGCAACCCTGATACCCAGTAGGAAAGGAAGTGTGGGCGGGGCCAACGGGGCTGCCTTCCCTCGTTGCCTTGGAGACGAAGTGTGTCCACTTGCAGTTGAAGCTGGACAGTCCCTGGCTGACTTGAGAGGTGCTTTTTGCAGGTTTTGATGAGGCCGGGTCCCTGGGCTCAGGGCTGCCCTCCACTCGGCCGGACTCAGAGGGGAGGTCCAGGGGCTGTTTTTGCTCCTTGTGGGGCTGAGAGCAGGGGTTGGGAGTGGGGTTTGAGAGGAGCGTGCCGGTCTTAGCATACAATAGGTCGCTAATTAGCTTGGCCAGAGTCAGGCTGCTCTGTCCCTCCACTTACCCCTCCCTGTGTCCACTCCGGGAAGGGATGGGGAGAGAGTCCTGGAACCGCGTTCGATGCCAGGCTGGGGGTTTAAGACTGGGTTGAAATCTCAGCTGACACCTTGGGCATGTTGACTTTTCCCAGAAGAGCTTGGGAGAGTGAAGAACAAACAATAATCATTTATTATAATTTGCCTCAAAGTCCCTCTCGGATTTGTGCGACTGGGCGACTGGGCCAGCCAGCCTTCTCCGTGAGTTCAGTTCTTGCCTAAGGTTTGTTTCCTTTTTGCTTCTTCCTCCCCTCCAGTCTTTTTGTTTAAAATAACAACTCTGAGGCTGAAGACAGGCTAGATGCTTTCTCACAGAGCAGAGAGGCCACGGCCCCAGGCTGCCTGCAGGGTTCTGTCCTCTGGGGAGGGCTTATCCTTAGGAGGAGTGGGAGGGCATTGATCTCTCAACCTCCAGAACCCGCAGACCCAATTCCTGGATAACTGCTTCCTGACAGGGGCGTCCAGCCAGCGGCCACGATGTCCTCAGTGGGGAAGGTGACCCAGGTCCCCAGCGGGAAAGTCTACCAGCAGATCTTTGAGGCTGAGGTATATGTCTGTCCTTCTGTCCCCCTTTTTCCTGCTTCCCAAACTTTCCTGTGCTCTCTAAATTTTGCTTCCCTCAAACTTTCCTCCCTCTGAAGGCTTCTTTGCCTGGGAATCTAATGAAATAAGGGCTTTGAAAGTTGCTTTGATTTGAAAATTCTTATTAGTTCTTAAAACGTGGGAATATAAAATTAGAATGTCTATTCTTGAAAATTAGAAAATTTAAAGTTTTAATTAAATTGAAATGACTCACTTGAAAGTCATGTAATTAAATTTAAATGACTCAGAAATAGCCAGAATTAATCACTGCATGCCCTGGTCTTTTTCCTACGCGTAAAAGTATTTCTAATTTTTTCTGTTTAAAAACCAGGTTTGATTTTAAACTCGTGTTTTGAAACCTGCTGTTTCTCTGTTAACAGTATATCACATTAGTGGACATTTGTGTACTTCGTGATGTTTAGTGGCTGCCTAGTTGTTGATCTAGGATTTCCCATAATGTATTAAAGTGACACCCTCCTGACAACCAGATACGTTGTTGGAATTGCCTGTATGGTTGTACAGACAAAATATAACTTAAAAGAAATGCACAGACTCAAATCCTTCCTTTGAAGTTTTGTACTGCTTATTTAAAAATAATTTGCATTCTTGCTTCAAGCCCTAAATAGTGCTCTTTGTAGAAGGCTTGACAAAGAAACCAAAAAAATAAATTATTCATATGATCCTGCCCCCAGGAAGCAACACACCATTCTTAACCGTTTGGCATATTTTTCTCCCAGTCATTTTTCTATGCATTTAAAATTTTGAGATCATGTTGTATAATTTGGATTATACTTCTTAATTTATGCTTTTAATTAATATGTTTTATGGTATACCATAAGCATTTCTCCATGTCATAAAAAAACCTAAGACTTATTTTTAATAAATGCTTAACATTCTATTGAAGGGGGATACCGTGTTTACTCAGCCAGTTCCCTATTACTGGACAATTCCATTTTTCTAATTCCTTGTGATTATAAAAACTGCTGGGATGAGCATGTTGGTCCTCATTAAAATTTACGAGATGCCTTCCTAGAAGTGGCTGAATGGCTGTAATGGGGAATGGAGAACCCCCTGTGTATGCTGTACCCTGTCTGGGGTTGAAAGCTGCCCTGCAAAATGCCTTCTGGCTGGCCGGTTCCAACTTGACCTTCTATGACACAGACTAGGGGTGCTGAGGAGTCTGCACTCTGACTCCTCCACCCCCCACCAACCTAGATCTTCCGTGGATTCAGGTGCAACTGGTCCAATCCCTGGCAGCCTCTAGGAAGCCTGCTGCAGAGCGTTCCATGACCCCAAAGAATGGCAGCAAGCCCTTGATAAAGAAGGTGGATATTCCTGAAGGGGAGATGATGTCTCCTCGGCAGCGGAAGTGGGTGCACAGCCTACCCAATGACTGGATCACGGAAAACCCTGTTCTCTACAGGTAGGTCCTGCTGTTCAGACCACACCCCCACATACTGGGGGTGCATCAGAACCTTCGAAAACTCAAAAAGAGCTCACACAAGATGAATGCCAGGTAGGAATCAAGTCCTAGGTACCTCCACTGAAAGAGGGAGGTAAAAACACCTACTTTGCACGATTGTTTGCTTCTCCTTCCCTTCCTTCCCCTCCCCCCTCAGTAATTATTGATGGAGCGTCTAGGGCCAGGCACTAGGTATGAAGATCCCACCCTCCTGGAATTGAGGCCTCTACGGTAAATAAGTAAGCTGGTTCCTCTGACACAGAAGATGGGTGGTGGGACAGGAGTCAGGAAAGCTCTCTAAGGAAGGGCCTCAACTGAGATCAGAGAGTGAGAGAAGGAAAGCATGGGGCAAGGTTCTGAGGCAGGATGGGCTCAGCCCACTCCAGGAGGCTGACGAAGTCAGTGGGCCTGGGGAGAGGGGCTAGAGATGAGGCTAGGAGAGGCTTGTAGGCCATAGGCAGTATTTTGGACATTACTAAAGTGATCAGCTGATTTGCAGTTTTAAGGCCTCCAGGGTGCCGTGTGCAGAATCTGGGGAGCTGCAAGGAGTGGCAGGGAGGAGGCCACAGCAGTCCGTGTAAGCTTGGTGGGACTGTGAAAGGGAGAGTAGGGCACCTCAGGTGTATTTTGGAGGCAGAACCCATGGACCAGGTGATGGATTGAATGGGAGGAGAGATGCCCTGAGCATCCTAGGTCTTTGGCCTGCATGCTTGAATGGACAGCAGAGGTGCCATTTCCTGAGATGAGAGTAGATGGGGTCGGAGCAGGAGATCAGGAGTTCCTTCTGAACTTCCAAGTTCAGAAGTTGAACTTGAGATTCTTGAGCATGCCATTTCAGCTCCGTGAGCTCAGAGTCCTCGGTAGGGAAAAAAGGAAGGGAAGGAAAGCAGCGGGTGCATCTTCCTCACAGGGTGCTTGGGAGAACGTAGCAGAAGCTGGGCTTCTCTTCCGCTCTTCAAGCTCTGCCCAGCCATTAACCCTCTCGGGTCTGGGACTCTGGAGCAGGAAGTCAGCCCTCCTCTACATGCTTTTGTTTTCCGTTTCACCCCCTTTAGAGCAGGGGTTAACCCAATGCTAGGTAAAGGTCTCCACCCTGACCTGACCTTTAACTTTTCCCAGAGAAGCTCCCCTGAGGCTTCTGATGTTCTGCACCCTTAATTACCTATAGATGGGCAACCCACTAGCTGCCCAAGCCCATACTGGAGGTCAGCGTTCTCCAGCCCACGTCCCTAGTGCCTGTTGCAGGGATTCAGAGGCACAGACAGTTGAGGCCTATCTGTGCTCCGCCCTCCTCCCAGGAGGTTGGTCTCCCAGCCTGGCCATGACTCTGGCTCCATAAGGGTCCCAACCCTCTCTCAGCTGACCTGTTCTTATCCTGGTCCAGGGTCTACCAACATCTGTCTATGCCTCCTGAGGGTCCCCTCTTCCCCAGGGTTTAGCCTCACCCACCATCCTCATTACCAGAGCCAGCATCAGTCTGGAGCTCTTGGCACCCCCTGCAGGACAGTGTTTTTGGAGAGGCACTTCTCCCGAAGGGCTCTGGTGTTGTGCCGTGCTGGCCTCCTGGGACCGGTATACAAGGCCAGCTCTGCCCTAGATGCAGATCCAGAGCACAGCTCCCCGTGGCCCGTGGCAGGAACAGAGATGTGTTTGTAAACTATCAGTCCCTGCCACCCTCAAAATGACTGGGGTCACTAACTCAGCATCAGCTTCTCTCCGGGTTCCCCTCTTGGAAATTCGGCCAGCCAAATCCAGTCAATTTACGTGTTCATTCGTGCAGGGTGGGGCCTCTGGGGGAGTGGAAAAGGAGCCAAGAGAGGCATAGATCACCACCAGTGTAAACCAAGCTCCCAAGTCCCCTGGGCAAGTGGCCAAGAAGCCAGAGCCATCAGCAGCTGCTATAGTCAGGGGGCCCGGACTTCCGTGGGGCTGCCTTAGTCCAGAGGCATTTGGTTGACGAGACTAAAAGGCCCACCTCTGGAGGACTGGCTCTGGGCCCCATCAGCTGCAGCCCAGGCCTTGCAGCCTTCCTTGCTGGTAGGTCCCTGGTGAGGACTATATAAGAAAATGTCCAGTAAGGGCTGCACATGTGGGGGCCCCAAGGAAGAGCAGGAGTCGCTGAGAACTGCTGCATTTCTGTGGTGCCTGCCCTGTGGACAGTGCCCTTAGAGATTTGTATTCCATGCTCACCCACCCTGGTCCTCCCTGCTGAGATAGTTTGTCCTGGGATCCCAGCTCTCTCCTCCTATACTCAAACTTCATGTACCATGGACCTTGGTGTCACATGCACCGGTCTAAGAATATCAGTTCTGCTTCATGCAGTGACTTCTCTAAGCCCCTTCTCCCATCCTGGATGGGCTGCTGAAAGAGCAGATGAGGAGCATGCTGAATTCTTAGCACCAATCTGGCTTTCCCAGGCTGGTCATACCCCTGCTGGTCTTCAGTTTCCGCCTGTGGAAAATGGTTCCTGCTCATCACCTACACTTGGTTTGCAGCCAGAGCAGAATCAAGCTCCCCAAGGGCAGGGCCCCACCTCTTGTCTAGGATCTGTGGTGTCTGCTGGCAGCAGATGCCCAGGCAGTATTTGCTGGAGAATGGCACAGCCTTGGGACATGCTGGAATCAGTGGGCCCAGGCCATTGGCAATGCCTAGGGTCCCTCTAGAGACTCCCCCATGTGCTACTTCCCTGGGGGTAACGGGTCCAGGGGTTCAGTATTCTCTTCTGCTTCGGTCTTAGGGAAAAGCAAACAATTAAGAAGGAAAAGGCTCAAGAGAGTGAGAGCACCGTTGCTGCCCGAGAAGTCCGGGGCCTCATGGACACAGTCGGTGAGCCTCTGATCAGCCATGCCGGTGGGCCTGGCCTGGGCCCGAGAGAGAGCCGGGGCATCTCCCAGGAGCTCTAATGTAGAAGCACCTGAAGCTCCCACTGTGTGCCTCACTCAGCCGTCTGCCCTGGGCCTGCTCCCCTCAGCCTTCTCCCAGAGCAGGGAGCTGGAGGAAGAAGGGGTTGCCTGCACTGTCAGTATTTACTGATGAAAAGCAGTTGGCAAAAGGTGTTGCTCGCTTTACTGCGATTTCACAAGAGGCTTTCTCAATCTACATTTTCTTCCCTCATATCACGTTTTCTTACTTTGGCTTTATCTCAGTATAGAGGCTCTTTTTCTTTATGACTAAAAATGTAATACAGGCTCCCTATAGAAAAACAAAGGAAGGAGATAAGCAGAAAGTAAAAACTACCCCTCCACAGTAGCACCCCTTCTCCTCCCAAGAGTGCCCACCCCCATGAAACCATGGGGTGTCCCACATAGGTTCGGGGGCGGGAGAGCAGAGCGAGATCGCAGACCCTAGAGCAGAGGGCCCACATCCAAAGCCCTGCTCAGCCACTTCCTGCCTTTGTTCTTTAAGTCCCATGCCTCAGTGTCCTAACTTGTAAAATGCGGCTGATAAGTAACTGAGTTAGAACAAAGCCTGGTACACGTTATGTGCTATGTAAATGTCGCTTACTTTATCTATGTATGTACTTCCTTCTACAAAACTTAAAAAAAATATATATATATGGACCCATTCCATACATAACCATTTTGGAACTTTTTGCCAGCATTTAACTGTGTATGTGAGACTCGATTCTCTATAGCACTTATGGATCATCTACATCTTTTTTTGCCTTATGCCTATGACACTGCTGGCCTGGTTTGGGGATCCATTTCCTGAACCAGGGCACTTTCTGCCTGGCTGCCTTTTCCTGGGTCCCCTTCCGTCACCTTGGAGCTCTGAGGGCAGACTCATCAGCTCTGTTGTTCTCCCCCAGTTCCTGAGAGGGTCAGCAACATCGCCCTTCAAGGAGACTACAAGAGAAAGTGCTACGAGAACGCTCTGGGGAGCTTTAAGGAAGAAATCGCTCAGATTGGGATGGTGAGAATCCTTGCTCTTGATCCCCTTCTGTCCCTGGGCCGTTCTGAAGGCGATTTGTCACTGCCTTCGCTCCAGCTCAGAGGTTCTCAGTGGCTCACCGTGGTGTTGACAGAACTATACATAGTAACCATGTTTGAGTGGCTCGTTACGAGAACTTGTTATAACATAGCCCTGTAAGTCAGGTTCCGTTATTACTCCCGTTTTACAGGTGAGCCCACAAAGTCTTGTCTGACTTGGAATGGAAGCAGCCGAGTGGGAACGGGACTCCAGGTCTGATACCAACACTCAGACTTTGATCTCCCTGCTCAGTCCTATTCATAAGGGGCCAAACGGCCTGACCCATTGACAACCTGTCCCTTAGGTACTGCCCCCTCTTCACTCCCTGTTCCTCTCCAGAGACCTCATCCCTAGCCATACTAGTCCCAGAATGTTCCCTAAATGAGACCCATCTTGGTCCTTCTGGGTCCTCTCTGAGCCCCAGATTGCAGTCACCACTTTCTTTCTGTGTCTTCTCTGACTCATGTTGCTCCCTGGGGTTCTTGGAGCTGGCTCTGTTCTCAAAGGCATCAGTGGGGTGCCCCTCTAGCCAGCTTCTCACTTTCCTAACACATCCCAACTGGACGTGAGCTCTGTTTTACCCATGAGCTCGGGGGCTTTGGTCACACGACATAACTGAGCCCCAGTCTATTCATCTGAAGTAAACTTGGAATTCTTTCATTGGCTACTTCTTTAATGAATATTTGTTGAGCCCCAGCCATGGGCCTGGTCAGATGTCAGTACCTACTTCACAGGCTGTGACAAGGACCAAGTAAGTCCAAGAATAAGGGCTAAGCTCAGCACAGAGCAGAGCGTCTGGCACATGGCATGTGCCCCAAATGGTGGCTGCCCTTGTACTCTAGTTGTGAACTAATTAGTAAGTCTTAACTCCTTGCGTCTAGGTAACGATTATTATTTTTGAGACAGGACCGTGGCTGACACTTCCTCGTTATATGAGAGGGGTGGTCCTCCTGATACCAAAGCCATCACCCTCCTGGTCTGTTTTAGGAAATGGAACCTCTCATCTTGGAACCAGGAGTACTTCTTTTAAAAAAGCTGGCTGAGTTTGATGAAAACATTGACAATCTCTTCAAAGAGGTGGAAAACGACGACAACCTCGAGGACTATACCATCCAAGTAGGGGTCCCCTCGTGGGCTGGTCGACACCCCCTGGTCCTTCTCCTGCCCTCTGTTCTCCCAGCCTGACCCAAAGTTTCTCGGCATAGACCCTGCTGGAGCTGTGGGATAAGGTGGCTGAGAAGTTCCTGCTCCAGAAGCAAGGGATTAAGGAGCTGGATGAGACACTGCACTCACTCGAATTCTCCCGGACAGATAAAGTGAGTTGGCCTACAGATGGGCTCTTGATGATTCTCACTTGTGGGATTTATACGCATCATCTGTTTCCTTTTAGTTCTCCAGGAAAAGAGAGTCACTAACAATAGCACTTTGTCATTTCTAGCTAAAAAGCGTGTTAAAGAAATATGTGGTGATCATAGAGAAAACTTCCTACCTCATGCAGCCTGACGTGTACAGGCTGATAAACAAAGAAGCCTTGGTGAGTGGTTTTTATGTGCTGGGGATCAGCCTATGGAAGAAGGAGCCAGAACCTTCGGGGGCCCCAGAGCCTGGTGTCTCAGGAATGAAGGGCTTATCATAGGTGACATTTCCAAGTAACTCAGGTTGGCCACTTAGGTTCAGAAGCAGAGTCTTGGTAAAGTATTTTCAATAGAAATCTTTCTAAAGTACATTTTGTACTTCCCTGCCATCTTAATCACAGCGTACCTAACACAGCATCATGGTTTTGAGCACAGTGATTTTATAAGCGCCTACTGGGCCATGTCTCAGCTACTACGGTGCAGAGCGATAGGGGCTGCACTGTGGAGGCATCATCTCGTGGCCGTCAGGGTCTCAGGTTGGTTTGCGCCCTGATCAGTGACCCCAGCCTGCTCTGTTTTTCTAGTTTTTCTAGTGATTCTTATCTCTTCTCTCGCTGGCTGTCAGTGCCTGTTGCTGAACCATGCCTGCCCCCTGGCTCTGTCCCTACTGCTTCCCTGTCCATACCCCAGCTGCTTTCTTCAGGATAAAACAAACAACAACAACAACAAAAAAAAAACACAAGAAATTCAAGGTAGTTCATGATGTCTCCAAAGTCAGAGTTAAGTCTGACTCTTCCGCGGTGTGAAAGAACAGCTCTTTTGGCTACTCAGAGGTGCATTTTGCTTGCACGGGTTTCTAGGTCCCATGCAAAAAACTGGCAGCCAGATAGCAGCCCTCCTGGCAGCACACAGGGTGAAGGGAGTACAGTGTTCAGAATCACAGATGGGCTCCAGCTCCGGTCTGTGCCTTGGAGTCTGGACAAAGCGCAGACAGGGAGTGAGCATAGACCTTCCTCTTCACTGCTCAGACATGAAAGCTCCCGAAGTAACTCAGCCTCTGAACCTGGAACTTCCTGTCCATAAAATGGGGATAATGATACTTAACTGTCAGGACTTGTTGGGAAGATGATAAAAGAGGGCTCAGCAATGGCAGCTCTCATTTTGAGCCAAGAAAGAGTTCCTAGATTTTATCCATTTGATCTACTGGGGGAGTCAGAGTTAGCGGTGCCCCGTTATGTTTCATTGTCTGACTTTCCTGTGCTTATTTTATGCATTATAACAACGTGCCTATGCTACTTGCTCTATGTGCATTTATCTTATTCAATTCCACAAATTCCCTATGCTTTAAGTAGCATTATCGTCATATTATGGCTGCAGAATTGGAGGTTCAGGAGATACTTGCCAATGTTAGAAAGTACAGCAGGCATCAAACCTCAGGTTCCAATGACAAATGTTACAGAGAGTTCTCCTCACTGAGCTTGGCAGGTTCTCAGCTCTGCCCCAGGGTAGCGCCTAGAAGGGTTTGGGAAATGCGTGGAGGCATTTTGGGCTGTTACAGTCCCTGGGGATATGGAAAGGCTGCTCCCATCGAAGGTGGCAGGGATGCTCAATGACAGGACAGTGCCACACAATGAAGAATTATCCCCACTGCCATGCCAACAGTGCCCAGGAGAGAACTACTGGGAGGACTGCCAAAGAATGTTCTAGCTCTGGCCTCATTTGGTAATTGGGTCCTGGTTCTCATCACAACCATATGTGGCAGGTCCTTGATGGCATGAACACTCTGCTTTTGGAACAAATTTATTGAAAAACAACAAAAAACAGTTAAACGCAGAGTCCACTGGAGTGTTTAACTCCAGTGAACTAAAATCAGCTTTTTTTAGCAAACAATCAGGTGGCTTTGGAGCTGGGTTGAAGATTATATCATCAAGGTTCATGGTTAAGCCTTCAGGATAGACCTTGTCACTGTCCATGGCTGTTGAGTCCCAGACAGCTTCTCTAAGTGCCCAGCGACCCCCTCAGGACTCCTCAGACAGTGCCACCACTCCGTTCGGCCATGGCCCCTTGTGCCCCAGGCCCTCGGCCTGCCCCTCACCTGGCCCCTCTCCAGCCTCTCACTGCCCCTATCCAGCTGAGCCTTGTTCTGACCTTCGAGAGCCCCCGCCCCATCTAAAGGTTGTCTGCCTGCGACCACAGGTCATAAACCACGCCCTGCTGGGCAACCGGAGGGCCATCGCGCAGCTGTTTGTCAATCTGAGGGAAGTCACGCTGAAGCAGGAGCTCGAGAGCCGCTGCCGCTGGCAGGGCCTGGTCGATTCCTGGAAGGCTCTCAAGAAGGAGGCCCTGGTGCTGAGTTTCAGGTCAGTGGCTGCCCACACTGCCTACGGTCACGGGGACAGCAGGCACGAGGACAGCAGGCATTCTCCCTCTCTGTCATTACTTTAAAATGCTGTTGTTTTTCTGGTGGTAACAGTAATATAAAAAAAAAAAGTAATAGTGCTCTTTTTTTAAGTTAAAATAGATAACAGCATAAAGAAGAAATTTAAAATCGCCACTAATCCCTCACCACAGTGAGAAGCACAGCTGATATTTGGTATATTTTCTCCCAGGATTTTTTAGACCCACACTGCATAGGTAGATTTGTATCTTATTTTCTTCATAAGCATTTTCTGAGAACAATACAAACTGTTCGGAAACGTTTGGTCTGACTGTCTGCCCAATTTCCACTCTTTACTATTACACATAGCCCTGTGTTACTGGACCAAGGAGAACAGCTGTCCCTCAGGCTTTGATACTTCCCACCTTCCGGTAGCAAATTTCACCCATGGGAGGAAGGATGAAGAGACGGCCTGTCTCCACACTTCCTTTGCCAGGTGTCACTTTCATTAATACTGACACAAAGAGACCTGCACCTTTTGGCCAATAAGCAAGACTTTCTTTTGCTAAGAAAGGGACATCTTGGTTCAAGATGTCTGAGGATACCAGAGTGTCCGTCCGTCTGTGCTGCAAGCCTGGGGGTGGGAGGCCCCTCTGTACCTCTGCATTTCCAAATGGGGAGCTCCACAGTCTGATCCTGGGGACGAAGGAAAGTATACCGAGACCTGGATCCACCTGTACTTTCCCTGTGACCCTGGTCAAATGCTTGAAAATTTGGGGCCTTTCTCTCCCTGTGCAAAGCAGGCACCATGATATGAGGGACCAGTGATGATCAATAAGATACTGCGGGGAAGGTGCCTGGTCTGGGACTGGGAGGTTGTTACAAATGTCAGTTATCATCAACAGCGATAGCAGCGGCTGACCCTTGTTGGGCATTTCCCATGAGTCAGGCACCGTGCTAAGGCTTTCGCTTGCGTGCAATATCTTGACGGGTCCTCACCATTAGCTTCATTACGAAAGAGGAAACAGATTCGGAGTCAGGGGAGTGACTTGCCCAAGGTCACAGAGCTGGCAGGCAAGAGTCAGGACCCATACACAGATCTGTGCCTGCTGGTACCATGCTCTTAGCAGCAGAGTCTCACTGGCGGTAACCTCGATTCTTCTCCCCGACCTTTCCTCCTTTCCTCAGTGTCCCAGAGGCCCAGGATGGAGAGGAAGGGGCTGGGAATGATAGAAGAATGCTGGGGTTCCGAATGTTCTCACCATAGGTCTCATCCCCTCTCTCCCATCCACCTTGCCCTTCCTCTCCTCTTCATGGTACCAACATGTGGACACCCAGTGAGTTCATGGCCACTGAGCGGATCCAGGTTCCTCCAGCCGTGAAGAAGGAGGTGGAGAACATGCTGAAGAATCAGAAAGCCCTGCAGCAAAAGCGACTGCAGCATCTCTGCACCATCTGGTACAGCAGGAGGCATCCCTGGGGAGGGCCACCTCTGGAGGTCCATGGGGGAGGCAGACATACCATTGTCCTTTCTTCTGAGGCATCCTCCAGACCAGGCCATCTCCTGGTTTTCTGGTCCTGGGCTGGCCACCTGGGGCTACATGCTGGGGCGTTCCAGCCCCAGTGGCAACAAAGAACATATACTTACTGCAGAAAGAAGTTTAGTGTGACTGTGCCAAAGAATTTAAGAGGAGTCAATGGCAAGGGGAGAGTGGGGGGAGGGAGGGGGCAGGTTAAGGGGTTAGACTTCTTTCCTGAGGGCAGTGGAAAGCAGAGTGGCTCCATCAGCTTTGCAGTTCAGAGGGTGAGTTGCAGGGATCTGAGGCTGGAGGCCGGAAGGTTGGTGAGAAGACAGCTGCCATCATCAGACAAGGGACCTGTTAGGGGCTGTGGACACCACCCTCAGACCTGGGTCCACCCAGCGCTGATCCCATAATGTTTGGTGGGAAGTACACTGAATGTTATCGACCCTAGAAGCCCACTGTTCGGGGAGTCTGTAGCATCCACTCTCAGCAGCAGGATGGGGTCTGTGTGGTCCTGCAAGCTAGAGACTCTTAATGTGCTGCTCCTCTTCCTTGGGCCTCCCACCCTGGTAAGCCTGGGACTCGGGTTGTTCTTATCTCCCTACCACAGAGCCTAAGTTCACAGTTAGGATATCAATTACAGTTAGAGCCCCAGAGGGTCTCCCCCGTGGCTGGTACCTCCTGCTCCGTGCGCAGCCACATTAACGAGCAGCTGGAAAATTGACAAGGTGGCTAAAAATCTCAGTGCGAGGAAAAGTGCTTTTGTTCTCTATAACTCCACTTATTTCAGACTCTGAGCTTCCGTTTATTAAACTGGGCAAAACTCAGTTCCAGGCACCTGCACCCGACTCTGTCTGTACCTCCCCCAGCCCCTGTTCTCATGCACAGGCCCCCTGCAGGCTTGTGGGCAGTGCTGTGGGAGAGGGGTGGGGAGTGTTGCTAAGATTCACAGGGCCCCAAGAGCGAGTACCCAAAGTCCAGGGAGAATCCCCATGGACTTTCTTGGACCCAATAAGCCTACGTGCATATCATTTAAAAATAATTTTTAAACTAAATTTGTATTTTGGAGGAGTGTTAGATTTACGGAAACATTACAAAGATAGCTCACAGAATTCCTGTCTAGCTCTCACCCAGTCTCCCCTAATATTGTCATCTTATGTTACCACTGGACATTCGTCAAAACTAAGAAATTCACTTTGAAGCATTCCCATAACTCAACATCAGATATTTTGGGATTTACCAGTTTTTCCACAAATGTCCTTTTTCTGTTTCAGGACTCAAACTAGAACACCACACTGTATTTAGTGTAATATTTAGGCTCGAGATTATGCTTTATACTTATACTTACCTCTTGTACTTACCTCTTGCTCTTCACTGTCCTTCTATAGGTAGAGTACCCAAGTCCCTCCCGGGCTACACATCTTGCCCTCGCATAATCATTAATAGTATCCCCCCTGTCACTGTCAAAAATGTCCTGGTTTGGACAATAAATCATATGGTCCCTCTAGACGTATGCATCTTTCCACATCATTAAACACCACCCCAAAATTAACGCAACAATCATTTCTTGTTTCTCAGGACTCTCTGTGGGTCGCCTGGGCAGTTTTCCCTGGTCTGGGCTGGTTTGGCTGGGGTTAGATGGTGTAGGATGGTCTCACCCCCATGTCCAAAGCCTCATCTGGGACAGCTAAGGCCTCTCTCTACATGCTCTCTCAGCCTCCATATTCTGGGCCCTTAGGCATGGTGGCAGTGACAGACAGCACTCTACAACAGGAGAGGACAAGCGGAATACAACAGCGAGGCCTTTCCCAGCCCCTGATGTTGCTTTTGCTAATGTCCCATTGGCCACAGCAAATCTCATAGCCAAGCCCAGATCCAGGGTGGGGAAATAGGCTCCACCTCCTAATGGAAGACACTAATGCTATGTGGCCATTTTTTAATCTGCCACACTTTTTTAATAACTTCACAAGAGAATTCACTGTAGTTTATTTAGACAATTCGCTATTATTGGATATGAAGGTTGTTTGCGATTTTTTGTTTGTTTGTTTATAAACAGTAATGTTAAGCAACGATTTTAATATGTAACTCAGTGTGCATTTTGTTACTTGGATTAGGTTCCTAGAAGTGCTGTAAGCCATTTGATTTTTTCCCATTAGGAAAATTCAGTTTTATTTTCAAAGTAACAGGCTCGTTAATGTGAATAGACCTTTTCATGAGGTGTGTATTTGACACCACGAAATCCCCAGCAAGTCAATTTGTTTTTAGTATTTACATAGACGTTCCTTAAAGCTGCTACCAATTTTGGTAAATGAACGTTTTACTTAAGTGTGGCTTACTTGTCATATCTTCCTTCCCCAGTGACCTTCTGCCCCCCAATTACAGCAAGGCTCAGCTAACCGAATGGTATTCTATTCTCAACTCCCAAAATAAGCGCCTTGGTAAGTGAGGTTTGTGAGATTTCACTTGCTCTCTCCAGAATTCTGTTCTAGTAGTATCTTTGTAACAGTTTCAGCCTGTTGATCAATCATTTACCTGCGAGTTTGTTATAAACTCAGGAGTGAGTGGCAAGTCTCTCCTGGGGAAAACAATGGGGTGCGGCGGGAAAAGTAAGTTCTGAGGCTCATATCGAACCTCCAAGACCTTGCCTGGCAGAGCCCTACCTTCCTCCCACAGCCTCCCAAGTCACTGCTCAAGTGGCCTCGGTGCTAGCCACACACTCTGACTCCTGTCCTCTGACCCCAGCATGGAGCCAGAGGGATGACTTTGATGACCACCTGTGAGGACGGCTCAGGGGCCAGGTCCTGGGCATGTGAAGTTATGCACACGGTATTGTAGTCAGAGAGATGTGGGCTTGAAGGACAGCTCTTGCTGTCCCAGCTTTATGCTTTCCCAGCTCTGTGACCTTGGGGAGGTCATGGCCTTTCTTGACCTCAAATTCCTCCTCCATAAAATAGGGACCTCAAGAGAAGTATAATAAAGGCACCTACCTTGTGGAGTTGATGTAAGAATCTACATGTGATTCTGTGGTCTAGTTCTAGTTCAGTACCTGGCTTACATGGAGAGTGCTAAATAATAAATGACTGTATTTGAGACTTCTCTATAACCAGGGCCCTCAAACTCTGGCCCATGAGTCACTGCCTGTTTGTAAGTAAGTTTCATTGGAACATAGCTATGCTTATTTGTTTACATATTGTCTCTGGCTGCTTCTACTTTACAGCAGCAGAAATAAGTATAGTGACAGAGACTACATGGTTGACAAAGCCAGAAATATCTACTATCTGGCCCTTTATTGAAAAAGTCTGCCAATCCTTGCCCTAGAAGATATATTTCCATCTCCTATGAGACTCATAGTAACCTAGTGAAATCAGTGGGGTCATTGTCTCCCTGGGACAAAGAAGGACTCAGAGGCAATGGAGAGACGAAGTATCCAGCCTAAGGTCACCCAGCAAATGATGTGTCACAGTTGGACTTGACCTGGGTTTTTTGACTAGTAGTACCCACCATTGCTCTCAGGGCTCTCCGGTTTATAAATCCAAATGTATTATAATTAATTATGTTATTATGCCAAGGCTAAGAGTCCCGAGATCAGAAATAATAGCAACGGCTGCCATTCATCAGGTGCATCCTAGGAACATGCATGGTGCTGGGCCCTGCCAACCAGCAGAGTAGATCTCCCCGTGGGTCCAGAGCTTCCAGTCCAGAGCTGAAGTGAGATCATGCAGGATATGACAGCAGGGAGCAGACAGGCGACCATCTATATGAACATTTATTAGGGGACACAGCCTGGTTAAGGGTCATGCAAGACCTTGCCAAGGAACAGATCATCTGGTTCAGACCTGCAAAGAAAGTAAGAGTGAGCCAAGCCCGGGGGTTGGGGAGCATTCCAAGCAGAAAGAATAGCATGTGGGGAGGCTCAGAGGCCGGACAGCACTGAGGCTTTCGGAGAATGGAGAAGGTAGCAGGGGAGGCTGGAAGATGCCCAGGGGCCAGACTGTGCTAGCCACATGGCCATAGAGTAAGGCTGGACTTTATCCTCAGGGCAGTGAGGACCCAGTGGAAGAGGCTAAGCTGGGAGTGATGGAGTTAGAGGGGGAAAAACCAGAGAGGTATAGGACTGAAAATGCCAGGGGGAGAGTTCATCACCTCACAAGAAGAGTGGTGATGTGTCGGCCTAGGAAGTGGCTCTGGGGCTGGGAGAAACCAGCTTTAGAGCTTTTCCTGGACAGTTCCACTGCGTATCACCCTCCACAGTGTCCTAAATCTACACCCCACTGCCATCCACCCGGCCCCACCCGAGCCTTTGTTAAAGAACAGCCACCACAAAATCTTTGTCTTTCAGTTTCCAGACCTGCCAGGCACATTCAACTTCAGTTGCTTATCTTAGACACCAAGAGTCAACATTGAGTTGATTATAAATTGGGACACAATAAAGAGGAGGTAGAGGAGAAAATCAATAAGCTTCTGAATGTCCTGCTAATCTATTTGCTTCTTAAGAAATTAACCACAGACATGATCTGTAAACGCTCGTTAATTTGCACCCTTGTTATTGTTTTGTGACTTGGTACAACTCCCCAAAACAATTTCACCAGCCTTGAAACTGAATCAAGAATCAGGGTCAGAATGGATTCAGAACAGATCAAGATAACTCCTCTTTGGAGATCCTTAACTCAGTGTGTTGGGAACTTTGTGAGACTCCTGCCCCTGAACTGAATTGGGACCACCTATATTATCCTCACTATCCAGGCACTTTGCTGGGGAGAAGATGCTTCCCCTAGTGAAGGGGAAACTCCTCTTTCTAATCTCTCTTTCTCCTGGAAGAGCAGCTGCCATGCTGACATGGTTTGTTTCTGCCCATGTAGACACCTACCACATGGAATGCATGATGCGGATCCGCTTGCAGTATGAGAAGACGTGGCAGGAGTGCCTGGCCTATGTGCAAAAGTGCAAGGTGGACACCCCTCCCTGCAGGCCTAAGGAGAGGAGCACAGGGAGTGGGCCTGGAGCCCTGTCCCTGGCCCGCCCCTGCCTCTCTCCAGCCTGGTTCCCCTGCTTTCCTTCCTTACATGTCCCAGGCCATCACTAGATTCTGGGTATTCTGAAGCTGTTTCCTCTGCCTGGACTCCATTCTCCCCAGCTTTTCCCACCTATCCCTGAGGTTCTAGCCCATTAATGACCACCTCCAGGAAGCCTTCCCTGATCTCGCAGAAAAAGTTATACACTCTCTGATCACCTCAGGCTTCATCCTTGACCCTCTGTATCACTTACAGCACTCGATATTATTTATTCAGCGGAGGTTGTATCACGGAGGTGATTTCCAGCGCTTCACTTTTATAAATAGTGCTGCCACTGCCATCACACCCAACTTTTCTCTCTGTTAGAGGGTGAGCCTATCCTTTCAGTTAAAATGTCTGGTTTTCTGGGGTACAAGGGAATATTTTATCAAAATGCCCCTTCCCTGCCTCCTCAGTAAAACTATTTAGATGAAAAAACCTTAAAAAGCCTAATCATTTTGAGATTGGTCTAACTTGCCACCTGTGGCAGTAAGAGTCCCCGAACTCTGAGGGCCCCACCTGTGGTCCCCAAGAAGCTCTTGCTACTCTACCCCTCATGTGTCTGTCCAGCTTTTGCTCTGCCATCAAGACCCTGAGGTGAGTGAGCAGTGCTTTACAGTACGATGCATGGTCCGAGTGCTGTCATTTCTATGGCCTATGCCACCTACTTGCATACTCTGCCATTGAATCCTACAAGGTCCTACAGAGTAGGTGTCACCAGCCTCATCTGGAAATGAGAAAATCAAGTTTGCAAAAGGCCAGGGGCTGCCCAGGCCCACAGGGCTCTGTCCATTTGCTCTGTGGCCTTAGGAACAGCCATGTGCCTCTCAGTCAGCTCTTTAGGGGCATCCAACCTCAGAAGGAAAGCCTGGAGGAAGAGAGGAGAGGGAAACCTTGTGTCCTCTGAGAGCACCCGCTGGAACTCACCTCCCCCACCCTCCTGCTGCCTGGGACCTCTCCTGGAGCCTGATGGCCCTGAGTGCTGACACCTTGTGCCCACTCTGTCTTTCTTTTGTCTGGCACATGCAGGGAATGAGTGCTGAAGTCAGCACACACTCCGAGAGTGTGTGTCTGACAGAGGGCACCTGGTATTCTGATTCAGCAGCATTGGAAACAAACTACTACAGACAGATTTTTAATTTGGGGAAGGTTGGTTTATTTTAGATTTTGTGCATAAACCAAGGCTTTATTTATATAGAGAGTCCACTTTCTGGTTGATACTAATTCAGTTACAGGACATGGGAGCCCTGTTTAACTTGCAGCAATGCTGAGGCCATATAGGATGGTGGGTTATGCCTGTAAAATATGACAGTTCTGAGTTCAGATTCTGGCCCCACCACTTGCCAACTGTGCGGTCTCCAGCAAGTTCCTTCACTTCTCTGAGCCGGGTTTCCTGATCTGTCAAAATGGGGCTAATAAGAACACCTCTGGGGGAGTCAGTGAGACAAGGGTGGGGGGCAGCACACAGCACCTGGACAGAGCAAGCGGACCATAAAGATGCACCATCTCCACTGCCGTGAGTGTTTCCCCGAAGTTTCTCAGGGATGAGTGGGAGGCAAATTGCGGTGGGTAGGGCCAGGCCCTGAGGGGACGCCCCCACCGGCCCTAAGCCAGGCTCTGCCTTTTCCCCCTCCAGAATCAGCTGCTGGACTGGAAAGCCTTCACTGAGGAGGAGGCAGAGAGCCTAGTGAGCCCATCCTTCTTCCAGACAATGGGAGTACTCCAGAGCAAGGTGGAGGAGGAGCTGGAGTTCCTGGATGTGCGTAGCTCGGGACCCACGCAGCTGGGGAACGGAGTGGGGATCACCCAGGGTGCTAGGCTGTGAGAAGAATGGGATTCCAGGGGCCTCCAATTTTCCTGCCACTAATTGAGCCCATTTCCCTCATCGTGGCCAGCTCCTCGGAGCAGTCCCTCTGTGATGGGCACTCCAGGCTCACCCTGACTCCCCAGCCGCCCGCTGGCACCCATGACACTCCATGGGAACAGTGTTGAGCAGTGCTCCCAGAGCCCTTGCTAAGGCTAGGTGCTGAAGGGCCACAGAAAGCAATAATCCCCTGCCCCAAGATACTTAGAATTTGGAGCGGGGTCAACAAACATTTTCCATAAGGGATCAGACAAGTATTTCAGGTTCCATGGGCCATCAGATCTCTAAAAAGTTCTCCCTGCTGTTGTCACACAAAAGCAGACCTAGGCAATTCAGAAATATCAGCTGTGATGCGATAAAATTTATTTGTGGGCACTGAAATTTGAATTTCATGTAATTTTCACAGCATTAAATATCTTCTTCTGATTTTTTCCCAGCCATTTAAAAATCTAAAATTTGTGCTTAGCTCCCAGGGCCAAACAGAAAAGGACAAAGGGCCACATTTAGCCCACAGGCCAAGTTCGCTGACCCCTGACTCTGATGAGAGCAAAAGACACATATGTTTTTGAAAAGACGGGCAGGGGAGGCGAAGATTCAACAGCAGGCTGTGGTGCTTGGTTAGGTGGTGAGAGTCAGGGAAGTCCCAAGAAGGAAAGATGCCCCCGGCCGAGCTGGGTGTGGCCACGTGAGGGCCCAGGCTATTTCTCTTTCTTCTTCCTGTTAGTGACTTCAATAGACATGGAAAAGGTCCTGACATGGGACTTCAGGATCAGCCAGACCAGTGCCATGGCCTTGGGCAGTCTCAGAATGCTGTCCCGGAAGAGAAAGGGCCATGAGCCAAAGTGAGGGGTGGTGCTCAGGCAGGGACGGCCAGTCCTGTGAGGCAGCCCTGTGAGTAGGGTCCTCCTCCTCGCCCTGGGGCGCTCAGCACTCAGGGCCCCTTCTCTGGGTTCTGCCACTGCAGAAATCCTTTGAGGCCCTGGCGAACCAGTCGGAGTGGCAGAGCTTGGCCCTCTTCAGCTACTTCCAGGAGGCCATACAGCTGTGGGAGACACATCAGAGCATGCTGTCTGTGCAGGAGCTGGAGCTTGAGAAGCGGATGGAGCAGCAGCGCGAGGAGCACAACTTGGAAAACCAGGTGTGGCCCCTGGCGCCCAGGGTAGCCACCACGGGGGTTGAGGGAAGGGCCATACCTGGATTGCCAGCTGTCTGATGGCTCTGCTTGGTGGCCTGCAAACTCAGCCAGCATTCAGATGGAAAAAAAAAAATTCGATCCATGCTTCACGCTATAAACAACAATTAATCTCAAATTTAAAACCTCAAGCTATAACCTTGAGCAGATCGGGAAATTGAGGCTCACCTTGGTTGTACGACTAGATGAGAGTAGAAGAAATCTACCTGAGTCAGGCCTGGGCTGTGTAGTGGGTCCCTGGATCCAAACGTGTCTGTAAGAGAATGTGCATGAGAGACAGACTAAGGGTATGGAGCATCCACCCCTGGCAGTCACCTTGTCTCTACAGGACATGAGCTGGCCCCCGCCCCAGCTGCCTTCACACAGCCTAAGGGGTAGAGGGGGTATATTCAGCATCTGATTTCAAGTAAGACTGGTGAGAGTGAGGAGCAGGTGCCACAGGAAGGTGTGACAAGGGCCAGGCTGGGTAGGTATGAGGGTCGAGTCCCTGAGGAGTCCCATCTGAGCTAGGTCTCTGAGGATGTAAAGTGGACAGAGAAGAACATTCCAGGCAGAGAGAAGATCCCAGAGGCCTGGAGCAGCATACTTTTTGTAGAAAAGAGGGTCCCGGGCCTGCCCTGAGTGTCTGGACCTCAGTTCCAGTGGCAGGATCACTGCATGTCACTTACATTGTGAGCTCTGGTAACTCCCGTCTGCTTCCTTCTGTTTTGGGGGTGGCTGCCAGGCCCAGGAGGCCCAACTCGATGAGCTCTTGGACAAACTGAGGCAGCAAAGCAGTGAGGAAACACTGAAGTCCCACTTGGAAAAGGCCAAAGATTTTCTGAAGAAAATAAAATGCAGGTAGGCAGACCGGACCCCGTAAGACACAAGAAGATGACCTGGAACTCATATTTAAGATCAAAGGCTGCCCGCTTTCGAGCCTGGGGGTGTGCCCAGCAAGCTCAAGATTAAAATGTTGCTTCTAAATTTGGAGAACATTGTGATCCTTTGCAGCTCTACTCTCCACGGACATAGAAATTTTGGGGGAGAACTTTGATCTGAAAAGTTTATGGAAGGTTTCAAGACCATGTAGTTTAAAGGTCAAGACCATGAGCCCTCCCCTACCTTTACAAATTTAAAACATACATGCTCTTTGTTAAAGAAAGAAAAAGTTAACCAATACAAACGTAGAAATTTCCCCCTCATTCCTTTTTGTGGAAATGTACATTTATGTATGTGGATATATACACATATACAGTTTCTTAAATAAAGGTTGGATTTTACTATGCAAATTGCTCTGTAACTGCAGCTATATTTCCATTTTTAAATGACCACATAGAACTTATTAATATGGTTGCTTCATAATGATTTAACCATCCCCCAGTTGATTAGCTTTTTAAGGTCAGTTCTAGTTTCTCGACGTGAAGAAGAGTTCTCTGTGAAGTATCTGTATCTTTGTGCCTTTGTACAACTAATTCTGTTAGGACCATTCGCAGAAATGGAATTGCACTGCCAATTGATTACAGTACTTAGATTCAGAAGTGTATCTTAAGGCAAATAAGTAATCCCTTGAGCCTTGGTCTCTTTACCTAGGATACAGATAAAAGTCTGGGTCTTGGGACATTAGAGGATTTGATGGGATAATATAGATGAAGTTCAAGGACAGAGAACAGTAGAAAGGAAATGGGAACCATGTTAAAAACAAGCAGAGAACTCTCTCATGTGTGTTTTCTAAATGTTCTACAAAGAGTATGTATTCCTTGTATGATTAGAAAAATGGCAAAACAACCCAAAAACTGTTATTTTAAAAGGAAACTTATACGGCAGCTCTGTACAGAGCTAAATGCCAAATTCCAGCCCACCTCTATGGGGTTAGGGGCATGATTTTTGGCTGGGTCTTCCACACTCAGCCAAACCCTTCTTAGATGATGGTCTTACCTCCCTCCCTCCCAGGTATGAATATTTTAATGTCCTCCTGACAAAAGAAGTGATGGAGTACCCAGTAATCATAATGAAAGAACTCAGCTCCTACAGCTTCAACCTCAGCCGACACTTCTATGTTCGTGAAATCTTTGAACAGGTACGGAGAGGGATACGAAATACTCAGCCACTCACAAGAAGCAAACGTTGATTTCTAGTTTTGATTTGCTTCAACTTTGAACACCTCCCCTAACCTGTATAGAGTTAGAATCTATGTCAGAACATCAAAGATAAGAAACTGAAAGCATTTCTAAAAAGAGACTGCCTCTTTCTCAGATGAAAAGAGGTTGAAGGGCTCAGAATTCAGACCCCAAGGTTTGAATGGAGCTATAATAAAAAGGCAAATTTATATGACTCTTTGAGTTCCATTCTTCCAATCTACCACTGCCACGTAATCCTCCTAAAATACAGCCCTGACCTATCCACTCTCCTGCTCAGAAGGCCCTCACCAACTCTGCAACCCTTGACTGAATCCAGCACAGTCCCTAGATGACCACAGAGGCCCCCACATCTGGTTGCCACCCTGACTCTCCCTGCTTCAGCAAAGTTCTCAGTCTTCCTGCATATGCCCCTGCCATTCTGCCCTTCCTCATCCTACTCTTGTCTGCCTCATCTGCCTGTCTGCACACAACCTAAACCCGTCCATACTTCCATTCCACTACCAGTTACAAGTACCTCATCCACTCAGCCTGTACCACCATATCACCTTCCTCAGCCTGTCTCCTCTCCTCTCTCTGAGCATGCTTATATGTTGGTTGCTGTCAAATACTGGAGTTCAGAGACCCTGTCAAAGTGTTTCCTGAAGAGCAGGTTGACTTACTAATTTTTATTCGATTTAGATTGCCCTTACTTAGCACAGTGTCTTATATGTGATTCACACACAGTGAATGCCCCTAGGTAAATGCATGAATACCTGAAATGTCCTGATCTGACTTTCCCAGTTTGGCTGTTTTCCACACACCCAACCAGAGTCCTGCGTGGCCAGAGCCGAAAATACTTGTGGTTGACACTGAACCTGGCTGAAGTTTTTCCACATACATAAGGTCTCCGGCTCCTCAGAGAATGCCTCCTCTTGGCAGGAATCACTGTTCCAATTGCTCATAAATGCTCCTGGGTTGAGTTAGAGCTCAAGCTGTCAGAGGGTGAGCTCAAAGCTGCCCTTTGAGATCAGTCTGATTAGATTAAAGAATAGGCATTATCACGGTCTCTATGTCATAAGGGGAACACAGGGCCCCATAGGGTTTAAGTGGCTTGCTCAAAGTCACCCAGCTTTTAAGGAGTTGGCATTTGAATCCAAACCTGCCAACTCCACAGCCCACACCGTTACCTATGGCACACTGCACCCTCAACTTCAACCAGGGAACCGGCCGCATTAAGTAGGGGGCTCCCAGATCTTGTAAATCATGTTCGTTCTGTATGTTTATGAACCCAGAATGAACTGGGTGCAGCAAGTTTCTGCCCCTTTGTTCGAATCCCTCACTTTATACCCTCTTGCTCTTTGCCCCGAATCACTACCAAAAATGTGCCAGAATGAGACTTTAGTCTGTGAATGCCCATCGTGTGACAAAAGGGTTTGCTAGTCTGCTTGGGATGAAAGAAAACTGATTCTCTATATTGGGAACGTCCTGATTACCTCCAGTGAAATAAAGGTCAATGCCTGCAAAAGATGTTTTTTGGGGGGGATCCTTTTATTTAGAAGAAAAAAGACACTCTTAGAAGTGGCACTTGAAGGAAGGCAGCACTGCTCACTCAGTGTCCCGTGTTTTTTCCTTGTAGAACTTGAATGGGGAGGTCATTTTCAGATTCAGGAAACCAGGTAAACCTTAAACGAGTCAAGTCTGACTCTCCCTGACTTCACTCTTGTATATTTGTGGGCTGGGGATGCCCAAACCAGGTTATACTGGTAACCTGTTCTTTTCCTTGTACTTTGCGGTTGGTCCTCAACAGGAGCGTGTGAAAAGCGCTTCCAGGAGAAAATGAGAAAACTGAGGAGAAACCGAAGGGCTAAAGTGGAAATGAACAAAAGTGAGGAAAGCATAAGTAGAGGGACAAGTTCCTCTGGGCCAGCAGAAGAGATGGGAGAAGAAAGATCTCAAGACACTGAGTCCTCCACAATTGAAGAGGGGGCAGTGACCCAGCAGGAAAAATCCGAGCTGAGTGACAAGATAGATGAGTTGAAAGAGGGCTCTCTTCAGGAGTTGGAAGAAACGCAGGTAGAAAGAGACATCTCCTTAAAACCATCTCCGAACCCGGAAAATGTGATGGTTCGAGACGAGAAGGAGAAGAAAGAGGAGGAAGCAGAAGGGGAGGAGAAGAAGAAGGGAGAAGAAAAGGAGGAGAAGAGGAAGGAGAAGGAACGGAAGGTGGCAAAGAAGGAGGAGCAGGAAGACGTAGAGGAGGAGGAGGTGGAGGAGCAGGAAGAGGTGGAGGAAGAGGAGGTGGAGGAGCAGGAAGAGGTGGAGGAAGAGGAGGTGGAGGAGCCCGCAAGTCTGTCCATGGTGGAGGTAGGCCAGCAGTGAATTCACTCTTGTGCTTGGGGAACGTGTGCTGTGTTCACTCTGTGTATCACTAATACAAGCCGGGGTCCCCAGTGGCGCAGTGTCCTTAGGGGATACGTATAAAGAATTGCAAAGGCATGCAGACCTTTCGTTTCTGTCAACAGGAACCCAGTTCTTATCTCACAGCTACGCTTTTTAAAATTCACCTTCCTCTCCTCACATCCTACAACCTACTCTGAAGTCATCTCTCTACTGTATGGCTTTCCTTGCCCTTCCCTGGTCCTCCCTCTTTCCTAGCTCTTTATTGTGCAGATCAACACAAAAGATCCACATCCAAGTTAGCAGACAGAGCTCTCCTTAGCGTGCAGGGAAGTTACTTTCATATTAAATCTTGTCCTCAAAACATGTTCCAACTCACAGAACAGTAACTTGAATTTCATGATCACAAAATTGCAAAAGACTCTCTTTTCCTATGTTGCTGTGGAAGAATTGGCACATGAGACTTCTTTTCAAGCAGCAAACCCAGACTCGAATTGGGGATATGAATTTTGGAGGGACATCCAACATTCAGTCTGTGGCAACTGTGCAGGCATTATGGAACTCCAGCCAATGATGCCATGTGGGGCTGTAGGCTCAGAGACATCAGAAATGTAGAATTTCCTGACTTTAAAAGCATTACGTGGGGCGGGGGGGGGAATGGGGGGCAGAAGCAGTTATAGGCAAGATTCTGCCCACATGGTTACAATCTCAGATGTCAAGGAACCTGTGGTTTGTGCTTCCCATGTCTTTTGATGTCAAATCTAAAGTCTGGTTTTCTGTTTAGTCCGAAGCCCAGGAAGAGTGTCTGGAGGACATTTGCTATGAGGACATGGAGTCCTTCACTACCTCCAGTGGAAACACTTATTTTGTCTTCCTACCCTTGGAACATGAAGAGGAACGCAAGAGGCCCCGGTTCGAACTTTCTTCCATTCTCATCAATGACACTTCCAGTGCCACGTTCCTAGAACAAGCGATAATTCCACCCACGCTAGTTTTAGAAATTAAGAAACAGTGAGTAAAATACTCTTTAATTTTCATTCTCTTGTCCCGAGTTTTATTAACAAGATGAAATATTTTAACAAAAATTGGACTCATTTCAACTGGAGAAAGGAAATGTGTAGGTAACTGAAGGCAGAGATGAGAAACACAATACAAAATAGCAAATGTCCAGGAGTTATTTGCAGTCATAGTTATCTGCTGTGAGAGTGACCCCTCCACCTGTCCCAGGATGCCTTGCTGTCTTAGGCCTTGTATGTAGGACACAGTGTTTTCTCTGCAAGATGTTTCTAGATCCTGGTCCATGAGTAATCTTAGGGTTTTCTTCTTCTTCTTCTTCTTCTTCTTCTTCTTCTTCTTCTTCTTCTTCTTCTTCTTCTTCTTCTTCTTCTTCTTCTTCTTCTTCTTCTTCTTCTTCTTCTTCTTCTTCTTCTTCTTCTTCTTCTTCTTCTTCTTCTTCTTCTTCTTCTTCTTCTTCTTCTTCTTCTTCTTCTTCTTCTTCTTCTTCTTCTTCTTCTTCTTCTTCTTCTTCTTCTTCTTCTTCTTCTTCTTCTTCTTCTTCTTCTTCTTCTTCTTCTTCTTCTTCTTCTTCTTCTTCTTCTTCTTCTTCTTCTTCTTCTTCTTCTTCTTCTTCTTCTTCTTCTTCTTCTTCTTCTTCTTCTTCTTCTTCTTCTTCTTCTTCTTCTTCTTCTTCTTCTTCTTCTTCTTCTTCTTCTTCTTCTTCTTCTTCTTCTTCTTCTTCTTCTTCTTCTTCTTCTTCTTCTTCTTCTTCTTCTTCTTCTTCTTCTTCTTCTTCTTCTTCTTCTTCTTCTTCTTCTTCTTCTTCTTCTTCTTCTTCTTCTTCTTCTTCTTCTTCTTCTTCTTCTTCTTCTTCTTCTTCTTCTTCTTCTTCTTCTTCTTCTTCTTCTTCTTCTTCTTCTTCTTCTTCTTCTTCTTCTTCTTCTTCTTCTTCTTCTTCTTCTTCTTCTTCTTCTTCTTCTTCTTCTTCTTCTTCTTCTTCTTCTTCTTCTTCTTCTTCTTCTTCTTCTTCTTCTTCTTCTTCTTCTTCTTCTTCTTCTTCTTCTTCTTCTTCTTCTTCTTCTTCTTCTTCTTCTTCTTCTTCTTCTTCTTCTTCTTCTTCTTCTTCTTCTTCTTCTTCTTCTTTCCTTTCTTCTTTCTTCTTCTTCTTTTTTTTCAATTTTATAGATATAGATCATAGGTGTGAGTGTATCACTATGGTATTTGGCTCAGATTATGTAACACGGTTATTGTAGAAAATTAGAAAATTGAGAAAAGGAAAATAAAGAATATACAAATAACCCATAATTCTACTACCATTGAGAATTTAGCTCCCCTAACTCTCAAGTTTCTGGGCCTTTGTGTTTGAATTTGGACCAAATGTGGAAATTTGCATTTGGCTTTGGGATAACATTTCCACTGCCCTCCTGACTCAACAATGTAATAGTTGGGACTAATCAGCTCAAGATCACCTCCCATGTTTGTACATGTGCAGGGAATCAAAGAGTAAAGTCGGTCCTCTGTACTCTTTTCTCCATCACCTCAGCCTCGTCTCACCTTGAAAATGTCTCTTGACTCGAACCTCATCTTTCTCCTTCCTCTATTACAGGCCACTGTCTGTCTTCTCCATAGCCCACAGAACAAAGAAAAGCAAAGGCCCCCACAAGAGCTAATATTTATTGAGGGGATTTAATACTCTTAATAACTATGAGGGGTACAGCAATTAGCCCATTTTCCAGATGAAGAAACTGAAGCTCAAAGAGTTAGTAACTTGAATAAGATCTCGGAGATGAGAGGTGGTTAGATATGCATTTCAGACCCTGTCATTCCAGTCTTGAGCCAAACATTATGCCAGGTAGCCTTGGGACTAACCAGAAAAAATAGTTCTGTATTCAACTGGATTTGTGTGTTGCAGGGTCTTACATACCCAAAAGTATGGAAATCATGAGTGTGTATATAGCCCAGTGAATTATCCAAAAGGAACACACCTAGTAACCAGTACCCACAAGAAGCAGAACATTACCAGCTCTCCAGGAGTTTCCCTCATGTACCTGTCCTAAGTCACTGTCCTCTCCTCCCCAAGGATAGCAATATTCTAACTTCTGAATGAGTTTTTTTTTTTAACTTTATTTAAATGGACTCATACAGAATATACTGTTTTATGTCAGGCTTCCTTCATTGGCTGTAAGATTCAAATATATTTTTGAACGTGGCTGTAGCTCATTGTTTGTTTCTGTAGAGTTCAATTATAAAAAATATAACCCTTCTTGTTAATCCATTCTACTACTGACGCACCTTTGAGTTGTTTCCCATTTGGGAGTATACCAACAATGCTGCTCTGAACATTCGTGTATGTACAAATCTTTTGGTGAACCTATATACACATTTCTGTTAGATATAGAACTTAGAGTGGAATTGTTGGGACATAGTGTTATACGTGTGTCCATCTGGAGGAGATACAACCAAAAGATACTACTGAAGAGTTTTCAAAAGTGGTTTTGTTTTAACAGTTTATAATAGTGTGTGAGAGTTCCAGTTGCTTCACCAATACTCGGTATCATCAGCAGTTTTTATTTTTTACCATTCCGGTATGTGTGTAGTGGTGCTTCACTGTGGTTTTAAGTAGGATTTTCTATAGATTCGATGAGATAACAACAACAACAACAAAAAATCACAGCAGAGGTCTTCTTATGGAAACCGATGAACTGATATCAAATTTACATAGAAATACAAATGACAATTCCAGTTCACAGAATTTATCCTATAGAAATGCTTCTACACTAGACATATGCACAAGGTTATTCATTGCAGCCTTCTTTGCAAGAACAAACGGTTGGAAACCACCCTACGTCCTCCAGCAGGGGTATGATCGTCCACCTAGACCAAAAAATACATTGTAGTAGCAAATAAAACAAGGAAGAAGGAGCAAAGGGGGAGTGGAGAGACCTTTATATGTTTACATGGAAAACCTCTTCCTGGTAATGATTGTTGTCAGGAGTGACCCTCACTGTTCTCTTCCTTAGACTTCGAGCTGGCTTTTTTGAGCACTTAGAGAAGTGGTTTGACCAGTGCACCCTCAATGCCCAGGTCATCATGGCCACTAAGATTGATCAGCTGGATTCGGAACTGGAGCTGCGTCTACACCTGCACCAGCCAAGAGTCCAGCACGTTGAAAGGGACATCCACAATGTCAGGGCAGGTACAGACCCTGCTTGGGAAGGCTGTCCTACCCCAGACCCCTGGCATCTGTGCCACCACAGCTCCACATTCATTAGCTGCCCCAGTTGTCATCACACCGTGGAAGATGTGTGTGAAGGTTCGTACCTCTTAGGCTGGCAGAATCCTCATTCAAGATTTTTTTAAATTGTTTTTTAAAAAAGAAGGCATTAGATACTATAATGAAGAGTGTCCGTTTTTGGTTGTGTAGATCCCAGATGTGCTCACACACCTGTCAGATACACACCTGCATGGCGGATGCTCTAGAGCAGCGGTCCCCAACATTTCTGGCACCAGAGACCGGTGCTCCTATAAGAATCTAATGCCTGATGATCTGAGGTGGAGCTGAGGAAGTGATGCTAGCTCTGGGGAGCAGCTGCAAATACAGATGAAGCTTTGCTCACTTGCCGGCCAACTACCTCCTGCTGGGTGGCCCAGTTCCTAACAGGCTATTGACCAGTACCGGTCTGAGGCCCAGGTGTGGGGGCTCCTGCTCTAGAGGAAAGCCTGTAGCCCAGGAATCAGAGCTATCATGCTCAACCACTTTAGCTGTCACTCTGGGCAGGTTGCCTGACTTCTCTGATCCCTTCTTCACCTGTAGAAGGCACTATTGTTGGTGGCTGTGGTACAGTAAGGAATAATGAGCACCTCATACATGCCACAGCCTCCAAAAGTAGTAGCCATTAATTTTTGCTTATAATTAGTAACACTTAAAAAGAGGTGACTTTTTTTTCCTAGGCAGAGGGCTCCATTAATGGCGGGGGGCGGGAGGTGGCACACTTTTACTTGGATCTTTCAATGACTCCTGTTAGTTTTTCACTTGTGTCACACTTCAAGCTCCATCATAGACATTTAGAGCTCGAAAGAGAGTCCTCATATGATCCTACCCAACCTCCTATGGCCTGGGCAATGAAGTGGTTGTGGAGTCAGTGACCTGGCCAGGAGTCCCAGTGCCTATGGCCTGAGGAGACCTGCTTGGCTTTCAGAACCTCACTGCCTTCGTCTGGAAAATGTACCTTAAAGATAAATACAAATAAGGTGCTTTCTGAAGGCTGGTTTCCTTCCTCTTCCTTGGCTCCCTGGCCCAATGCACGGTGTGGAAATTGAGGCCAGAGAAACGACATCCTAGAGTCACACCATTCATTTTTGGCAGAGCTGGGACCACAGCACAGAGCTCCCAGCAGTAGGGAGTTCAGAGAGGGCGATCTGAGGCTTTCTGCCAGCTCTAAAGGCCTGTGATGGAGCTCTCGAAGCTAAATCCTGGTTCTTTTTACTCCACCTTGGAAGTCTGTTAGACTTCAGGCTCATTGGAAGTAAGTAGCCACTGATATTAGGAAAAAACCCCGACTGCCCAGCTGTGTGCTGATTGTTTTCTCTCAGACCCTCTCACCAAGATCCCCACCCTCTCCAACACCCTCCCACCATCCCACCTGCTCCCAGGGTTGCTCTCCTGGGAATCTCCATCTCCCAGGCTTTGGTCCCTTCGGCTGCAGGCAGAGTGCCTCCACCAGTAGGGACCTCCCGACTCACAGCTAGGTAGAGCCTCTCCAGAGGAATGTCCTGAGGTGACTCAGGATCACAAAGGACCTCAGCTCCCTTCATCCTTTTCAGCTGAGCTCTTGCTCCATCAAAAGCAGCTGGACAACCACTGTGCCGGGGTGATGGAGACGCTGAGGAAGGAGAGACTGATGTTCTGCCAGTTCCAAGAGGAGCAGAATGCAAGGAGTAAAAACTTCCGCCGCAAGATTTACGACATGGAACACACCTTCCTGAACGCCACCAAGAGCCAGAAGTAAGGGCCCTGGAGTCCCCACCCTAGCCTCGTGGGCCTAGAATCCAGCCTAGAGCAGAGAGCTGCTCTCAGAGGAGGCGTTCCCCGCCCCCGGCCCCAATGGATAAGAGTCATGTTTTCCACGCCCCAGAGCAACTTTCTCTTTTCAGTTCAGATCTTCACAAGAGTCCAGCGGTGTGAAACATCTGTCTGGGGGCTGGAGACTAAATGCTGGGGCTGGGTGAGCAGCCAGGGAGAAAAAAAGGATGCTCATGATCAGAGTGCAGGGATGCAAATGGTGTGCCCCAAAATGTCCATTGTGGGAAAGGCCGCTTCCTTCAGGGGAAGTCAGGAAGAGTTTCCTATAGGAGGGACTCCCGGGTCTAGGATGGAAAAAGGTGGGGAGGGAGCAGAATTCTCCCATCAGGAAGGAGCCCTGGCACAGCTTGAGGTGGGAATGTGCTCAGGGCAGAGCAAGGGGTTCCAGGGAAACCTCAGTCAGGTAACAGGTGAGGAGCCCTCACAGGTGTCTATACGGTGGTCAGGTACACAGAGGCAGCTGGTGAGGGTGGACTCGGGTGTGAAGGGGAAACTTGCAAGGTGCTCTTTCAGGAGAGCCCCGGGGCACAGCAGCTACATTGCTGGAAGTTAGAGTGAGCATGTCGGAGGGCCTGGGGATTCTTTTACCAATTGGTGGCAGTAGCCAGAACGAGGAGAGGGACACCCTCTGATCCAGCACACAGAGTTCTACGCTGAACTACACATGCTAGCATTTTGGACTTCCTTCTAATGTCTCTTATTCTACCCAGAGAAGACGGGCAGTTGTTCTGGTGGCCCCACAGCTGGGTACGGCAATGGAGCTCAGCCTTCCAGGTTGCTCTTCCATGCCCAGGTCACTACCCTGCCCCTCCCATGTCCCCCAGGCTGGTCATTCTCAGCAACACACTGCACCGGGAGCTGCTTAGCTACGTTGATGTCATCCAGGTGTCCCTGCGCAGCTTCCGCCAGTACTTGGAGGAGAGCCTGGGCAAGGTTCGCGACGCCAACATCGAGTTCGTTAAGCACTGCAGGTGGGAGCCGGCATCCGGGGCTTCTGCAGGCCACCAGGCTTTCTCTATTGAGAGTTGGTCATTTCTCTCTTAATTTTTTTTTAAAACTAAATTTATTGGGGTAACATTGGTTAATAACATTACATAAGTTTCAGGTGTACAATTCTATGATACATCATCTGTATCTTGCATTGTGTGCTCACCACCCAGAGTCTAGTCTCCTTCCGTCACCATATATTTGACCCTCTTTACCCTCTTCGTCCTCCCCGCCACATCCCTTCCCCTCTGGTAACCACCATGCTGTTGTCTGTGTCCATGAGTTTGTTTGTTTTGTTTGTTCATTTGTGGCTTTCTGTTCTATATCCTACATGATTGCAATGGCATGGTTCTTGTCCTTTTCCATCTGACTTATTTCACTTATCATGATGTTCTCAAGATCCATTCTTGTTGTTGCAAATGGCAATATTTCATCGTTTTTTATGGCTAAGTAGTATTCTATTGTGTATACACATGTACCAAATCTTTATCCAATCATTCATCGAAGGACACCTAGGTATCGTGGGCTGAGTAGTATTCCATTATATGAACCACATATCCTTTATCCATTCATCTGTCGGAGGACACTTAGGTTGTTTCCATGTCTTGGCTATTGTGAATAATGCTGTTATGAACATTGGGGTATATATATCTTTATGAATAAGTGTTTTCAGATTTTTTATTGCGACAAAATATACATAACAGAAAATTATCCATTTTAACCATTTTTAGGTGTGTAGTTCGGTGGCAGTGAGTACAATCACATTGCTATGCTACCATCACCACCATCCCTCTCCACAAACTGAAACTCTGAACCCATTAAACGCGAACTTCCATTCTCCTCTCCCCGCCCCTGACAACCACCATTTCACTTTCTGCCTCTGTAAATTTGACTACCCTAGGTGCCCCTCACACAACATGTCGTGCAGTCACACAACATTTGTCCTTTTATGTGTCTGGCTTATTTCACTTAGCACAACGTCTTCATTGGTTATGCATGTGGTAGCATGTATCAGAATTTCACTCCTTCTTAAGGCTGAATACGATTCCATTGTACACAGATGCTACACTTCGTTTATCCATTCGCCCCTCAGTGGACATTTGGGTGGTTTTCTTGCTTCTGTCCTTGAACTACCTCCATTCATTTTCCCTTGATCTTATACTTTTAATCTAAATCCTTGTTAGCCATAGTGTTTGGGGTGGGTGGAAAGGTTCAGGTCTGATCAGTGGCTTTTATTTGTCCCAAATTACTTGCAGACTATTTTCAGAGGGAGGCAACTTTTCTTCTGAAGAAATTGACTTACTGTGTCATCGACTGGAAAAGGAAGCTGCCCGGATAGAGTTTGTTGAAAGCTTAATCATGATCAACATGGAGAAGATGGAGAGCGAGTACCTGGACCAGGTGGGGGAGCCCCACCCCCGACTTCCAGCCAGGCTCCTGGGACATGCAGTGACAGGGTCAAGGGGGCCAGTCAAGCCCCATTTCCGACGATTAATTGAGCCTGTCCTCTTCTGCTTCTGAAGCCCCCAAGTTCCCAGTTAAGCCCCCCTCTTTTACTTTTTCTATTTCTTTACAGGCCAATGATGTCATCAACAAGTTTGAAAGTAAATTCCATAACCTGTCTGTGGACCTTATTTTCTTAGAGAAAATCCAGCGGTTGATGACAAATCTGCAAGTGAACATCAAATGCGAGGTAGGACAGCTTTATTTATCAAATGCAAGGTAGGACTCACACACACCTGCATGCCAGCACTGTCCCAGGTGCTGGGGATACCGATGTGGTCTCTACAGTGGGACTTGCACTCCAGCCAGGAAGATAGAGATTAAAACATAACAGCCACTAGCATTCATTGAGTTCTTATGCATGCTTCCTACTGATGTCTTTTGATTAGCTATGTTAGTCCTCACAAGAACGGTATGAAGTAAGTACTGTTTTTAATCCCCATTTTAAAGATAAAGAAACTGAGGCAGAAAATAATTAAGCGACTTAGTCAAAAACAGAGAGCTCCTAAATGATGGAGCCAAAATGTGACTCCAGGTCAAAGATCTCAAATAAACAACCCAGTTGTATATCTCAAGGAAGTAGAAAAGAAGAACAAATGAAACCCAAAGTTAGCAGAATGAAGGAAATAAAGGTCAGATCAGAAATAAATGAAATAGAGACCAGAAAAACAGTAGAAAAGATCAACGAAGCTAAGAGCTGGTTTTCTGAAGATAAACAAAATTGACAAATCTTTAGCTAGACTAACTAAGAAAAAAAGAGACAAGATAAATAAAATCAGAAATTAAAGAGAAGACATTGCAACTGATATCACAGAAATACAAAGGATCAGAAGAGACTGCTATGGCCTATTATATGCCAACAAATCGCATAACCTTTAAGAAATGGATAAATTCCTAGAACTATACCTATGCTCTCGACCAGTACTGTGCGTCACTAATTTTATTTTCAAACCTTATTTATTTGAAAAAAAAAAAATCTTTTAAATTTTCATTGATTAAGTTTCTGATAAGAATGTGCATTTCCCCCCCGCCCCCGATTTCAATTTTCCAGTACTTAATCCGTCTGTTTTTTGTTGAACATTTTCCCAGTCAAAATAGGTATTCTAGAAACAAATCTCAGAATCTCTGGTTTTTTCTAGGTGGCAAAATCCAATTTGCAAGCAGATGGATTAAATTCTTCTCTGGAACAGCTTCAAAGCAAAGTAGAAATGTGTCGAAGCTCAAAGGGAGATAAAAAGGTAAGTGCTCAGTGAATGCTAAGCTGTGAATCGTAAAGACGCACCGTGCTGGAATCATAAACTAGAAATAAACTTATATCTGTAGTTAAGATGTCTCCAGCACCAAAGGGGCCCCTGAGTCTTCCTCCATAACCCCTGTTTTATTCAATGAAATTAAGGAAGAGAAGAGAAACCAGCTGCCTCCCCCAGTCCCCACCCAGCGCCTCCCAGGCAGGCAGGTGGAGGCCGGTGAGAGTGTCTTTTCTCTTCCATTTCAGTGACTTAAGTGAGTTAAGGTTTCATTGGAGGACAGTTATTTTTCTATCTTTATTGCCTTTTCTTGCATAGTAATGTGTGCTTCTTGAAAATAGTGCCAATATCCACAAAGTACAGAGTGGAGAATACACATCTCTCATGTTATTCTCATTTCCTGTATAGCCCCTTGGGACCTCTGTGTCTTTATGCAGATGTTTCTACACATCCCCAGTTAATCTGCTGTGACCCCTTCACAGGCCCTTTAGGGACCACCCTGGCTCTCCAGGGCAGAAATGTTGGCTCTCTCACATTTCCTCACCTCCAACCCCACTTCCTGCCTTCTGTTGGTATCAGGGCATCAGCAGGGTGCGGGAGAGGGGGATGGGCATGTGGGGGGCATTGTAGAGCCTTACGGCCAGGTTGGGGGAGCATGAGCTCAGGTGGGCAGGCAATCCTCTAGTGATGGGGGACACTGGTTGGACACTTCTCTAGAGCAGTGATCAGGAGACGGGATAGATGCATCAGATGCGTGGCAAAGGCAGCGGGGACCAGGGATGGTATGGCCACGGCCATGTGCTTGCTCAGTGCCACATTGAGGAGGGCTTTCTGGTTGCTAAAAGGGAAGTTGGTAGGAGAGAGGCAGGGTGCTGGGACTGAGGCAGAGGGGATAATGGCCTGGACAAGGTGCTAGCAGGGACATGATCCATTTTCAGAGCTGAGTGGTAGGGGTAATTGGCAGGACTCAGAGTGCATTGGAAATGAAGGAAGCAGAAGAGGCCAAGGCACCTCCTGGCCTGGATCATCTACTAGGTCAGTGACCCATTTAGGGTCAGTGTGTGAGGATTGCTCAGTGTCGTGTGGGACGTGTGAAGAAGGCAGACATCCTTACGGTGCTTCCTTGCACAGCTGTGGAGCGTGGTCAGTGGAATCGCTGCTCCAGGGCTGTGTGTATTTGACGTTGTCATGGAGATGGCCAGATTCCCCTTCCAGAAAAGCTGTGGTCATTTCACTCCTGCACACCCTCACCATCCTGGGCCAAACATTTCCTTCTGAACATAGAGTATCAGAGCTAGAAAAAATCCTAGAGAGTATTCTGTGTCCCTGTCACACAGATGGGAAGACTGAGTTGAGCACGTTTAAATCACTTGCCCAGAACAAACCCGTAGAACCAGGAACAGAACTCCCGATGGCCCATCAAGTGAAGGATCCGTCATCCCAGTGCAGAGAGCCGGTTTAGTGTCCCCCACTCCCCAGGGCACCCCCTGCAAGCAAGGAGCCTCCATCAAACCAAGAGACATCCTCGCCAGCCAGCCCCCGTTCCTGAGGTTCAGATGGAATCAGTCTGCCCTCCTGCAGCCTGCTTCCTGTGGCTTTCTTCGTCTGTGTTCTCGCTAGGTAGTGACCACGGAAGACCTCCTTGGGTTCGTCCGAACTTGGAAAGAAAAACTGAACCACAGGATTCAGTACCTCAACTGCAGGTTGGAGACTGAGTTCGTGACTAAAGTGGTCTTTACTGTAAGAAATGGGCTGGGGCGATAGGGAAGGGTGGGTGAGCTATTGGGTCTGGGCTCCTAGGAGACTTGCAGGGCTCAACGGAGCTCAAGGGAAGAGGGGCTCCCAGGCCCCTGCTAGACTTCAGGCCTCCTGGGATGCTTTGGAAAGACCACGGGCTGTTCAGTCAGATCTGGGTTCAAATCCTGGAATGGGCCATTTCGCTGCATTGGTCTCACCTCCTTAGCCCTGTCAAGATCCCTAGTTCACCTCGCCCGCCGGCTCTCAGGGCAGCCTTACCTCTCCGCCTCTTCCTTCCCACCCACACCCATGAGCAGCCACTAGCTTCTCCCTACCCATTTCTACCACCCCATCCAAGCCCCCTAGTCTCTTGACCACCTGACTTATCTTCTCACGTCCGCCCATGATCCATTCCCTGAGCTGCAGCCAGACCAAACACTAGAAAAGGCCAGCCTGATCATATCACTCTCCTGCCCTCCGGGCAAAATCCAGACTCTTTAATCAGACCTGTGCAGCAGCATCTGTGGTCTACCCTCCATGGCCTCTTCATTTCTCCGCCCCTGCCCCGAAGATGTCACTTCGCCCTAGGCCTTCTCTTACCCCTGGTCTGGTCAGGTTTCCTGGCACCTCTCACTTCCCCGTGATCCCTCAGACCATACAGTGAGGTCTCCATTTTAGGGGCTATCTCCTCTAGACTGTGCACCCCAAGAGGGCCAAAGAGCCTGTGTTTTCCTCACCCCACATTCAGCCCCTCACACCAGGCTTTAACACCAAAGACTGTCAACCAACTTCAGACAGCGGGGGAGCGGGGGGGTCATACAACCAATGGCAGCACAAATGGGCTCCGGTCACCCTCAGACCCTGCCTCTCACTGCCTTGTTTTGAACCAGCCCTTCCTTCTGTGGAGAGGCTCTTCCCACTATGCCACCAACACTAAGCCTCCATCACACCACCACTGTGCCTATTACGAGATGGAACTCAGGGTTCCAGCCGGGGTCCCTCCCCCTTAAGATCTACCGCTAAGACAAGACTCAGAATAAAACAAGGAACAGCCTGAGAGCTCATTGCGAGCTGCCACTCTGAGGGCCAACTCAAGGGGGAGGTAGCCATTCACTCATCCATGCATCTGTTCATTCACTCACTTGTTAATCAGGAAGCACATCCACAGGCCAGCCTGACAGGTCTGTGACCCTTGGTCTCACAGAAGACACTGGAACTTTTCCTTCACAGCACTGGTCCCAGGTTTGACCAAACATTTATGTGCATAAGTGCATATTAAATGTATGTCTGTCTCTTGGACTAAACTATAAGGTCCATGAAGACAAGAGTCACATGTGACCTCTTCATGCCGTGTCCCAGGACCCAGGCAGAGCCTTGCAGAGAGCAGGCACTCAGGAAACAGTTTTGAAGGTTAGCAGCGTATATGCATGAATGAATTCATGGCCCTCTAAAGAGATACGACCATTACTGTTTTATAGAAGGGAGAATACAAGCTCAAAGAATTCAGGCATCTGGCCTCCAGCCACAGCACTTGGGCAGGGTGGTACTGGAATGTGAACCCAGCCTGCTGGTCTCCCCGGCACCTAGGCTGGGCCCACATACTCGGGCCCTTCTCTCTGGCCTTTAGGAAAACATTTTGACCAACCTGGAGATGGAGAGTGACATGCTGGTGTCTTCAGAAACCTTTGAAGAGGAGGCCAAGATAGATGTAGTCACCCCTGAGTCTTTCGCCCAGCCGAGCCGCATGGGGAAGCCCATGATTGAAGACCCGGCTGTAGAGGTGGTCAAGAATATCCTGCAGTGAGTGGCCCTGGGGTGCACAATGGGGCCCTGCCACCATGGCCCAAGCCCTGAGCCTTCAGGGACCAGCTTTGTGGTCCCACACACTGGGTTCCCATGTCAGCCCACCCCTGAAAACCTGTGACCTTGAGCAAGGGACTTCTCCTCTCAGAGCCCCAGTTTCCTCCTCTGAAGTGGGGCTCCTGACAGGATGGAGTCATGTGGTGTTGTGTGACAACCAGGATGGTGCCCAGTGCCTGGCCTGAGCTGTTCTCATGGTCCCTGGGTAAAAGCTCACCTCCCTTCCTTTGGTTTCAGACTTCATGACTCAAAATGCACAGTCACCCCATGTGACAAAGTCCGATCCCAGACAGGTAAAGGCAAACAGGCCTGTGAGTCTCAGGGTACCGGTGGTGGGGAATCCAGTGGTGATACCTGGCCCATTCTTACCTTGGGTCCTCTGCTCTTATCCTGGGCAATCGTCACCCAAAGGCGCGAAGCGACACCGGAACCGGGGAGAACACTTCATCAAGGCCTTGTCCAGCGGCAGTGCCACCTCAGCAGGGAGGTAGGGATGCCGGGCTTCCCAGGATCTCCCCTTCCCAGACCCCTACCCTGTGTCCCTGAATGGAGGCCAGAGACCACCCTGTTACTTTACTAGAGTCTGTCCTCAGAATGTGCTGCCTGTGCTCACAGCTCCAAGACTCCATGGGACCCAGTGAAGAGCCAGCTCTGATGCTGGCTTTAGTCATATCTGTACTCATTGCTGCTGAGTGACTCGGCTCGCAGAGGCCACTCACTTGGAGAGCCTGTCTAGAAGTTCAGTTTTTTTCCACAGTGATAGTAGGTGGATTGCAGCCCTGCTACCTTCCCACACACATCATCCTGGTCAGAAAGAAGGTCATTGGAGATGGCTTTCCTTGGGTGATATCACAGAGCCATAGGAAGTCCTGGCCTCTGCATCCTGGCCGTGCGCTTTACCCACTGTGCTCCATTGGAGTCATCAGACTTGTGGCTCAGTGATGGTGGGCCCTGGCCTACCCTCCTTCTATATTTTACAAAAGGTAGATGACAGAAACCATGTGGCTGAGCCAACTTTCCGTGTCTCCCATGAGCCCTTGATGATGTGGTTTAATTCCAGGTTTCGAGGAAGTAGCCGGTATGCTTTGCATACCTCCAGAAGGTCTTTTTGAATACACATGGCATCTGCAGTGTGGAAATAAATAAAGACCAACCAAATGAGAAAAGCAAAGGCTATTTATTCAGAGTTTGCTGCAGCAAGGGTATAGGCCACATCAATCATATTTTAGCGGAGCCTCAAAGGCAGGTAGAAGAGTAAATAATGGAGCAAAAGGAGGGCTTTGGGCATGGCTGATTGGAGGCTTTTGAAACAGGGCAGCTGGAGGCAGGCCAACAGCAGGGCATCCTATGTGATTGGGGAACCATATTTGGCTTTCTCTGATTGGTCTTAAGTTGGAAGCAGATACAAAATTTTGGGAAGCTATCAGTTATTAATAATTCCTGGTTATGTGGGGCCACTTGTTACAGGAGCTATTGCTTAGCTTTATGGATTGTCACTAGGATACCATCTCTCGAGTCTGACTTACAGCAGGCTGGCTTCCCGCATTGTTTATTATAACAAAGAGTTGGTTTCTTAGGCATATTGCTGCAGGTTATGGGTTAGACTTCTGTATTTATATGTGGTCCAGCCCCTGTCTATTTGTATATCCAGTCTCTCAGCAGTTACAGAGTGAAATCTATGTCGCTAGGGCTGCCAGATAAAAATTCAGGATGCCCAGTTAAATTTGAATTTCAGATAAAAGACATAATATTTTTAGTATGTCTCGAATATTGCATGGGACATATTTACGCTAAAAATTACTCATTGCTTATTTGAAATTCAAGATTAACTGGGAGTATTATATTTTTATTTAAAAATCTAGCAATCCTACATGTGGCTCAACCTATTTTTCTTTGGGGCCTCACCACAGAGAAGCAAGGATTCAAATCTCTGGGCTGGAGCACCTCTACCACTTGCCCCCTCTCAATGGCCCTGGGTAGGTTTCAGTGGCAAGGGCTCCATCCCCACAGTAAGGTCATCTCCAGAGCTATGAGGAGTAAAGAGAGGCATCTTGAAGGATCCAGCCCCAGACACAGGAGTCACGTTGCCCCAAAGGCAGACCAAGCACCTCTAGCAACTCAGGCAGGGCTCCTATAGGCCCAGATTTGCCCATGTCTGTTCCCAGCCTCCAGAGCCCTGACCCTCCTTTGTCTCACAGTATCACACGGTACTCCAAGCCGAATCGAATGGACAAAAAGTACCAGGTGCTCGGGGAGAGGCCACCTCCTCTGGCTGCGTAAGTGACAATGCCTTTTCCTTTAACTATTTTAACCTCTTGTCTCCATCTGGGGGTGGCTAAACCTGACTCAGCTGAAGGGAAAATAAGGAGTAGAGGGCAGGGCAGGAGGGGTTGGTGAAGGGGCAGGTAGAGGTCAAAGTCAGTTTGTCTCAGCCCATTTCACTTGAATTTGTTCAGAGATACTTTTATCAAAACTTCACATTTTCCAAACTAAGTATTTTGTAACAGCAGGGCGGCATACCCCTTTGGTGTTTTTTTTTTTTTAACGCTTTCCCTCATCTCCATTTCTCTTTTCCCTTATTTTAATTGCAGTGAATAAAACAAAATCTGCTCCACTTAATATGGCTACATTTCAATCAAACTAACAAAATTCTAACTTCTGAAAATGGAAAGCACTCAGAGAAAAGTCCAGGTGTACAACTGGCCCCCCTCCCTGTAATCAGGGAACCCCACCATCACAGCACTCCCCACTAATCAGTCTTTTTGCACCAAAGGTCTCATCGCCGGGGTTTTGGGAACATGCAGAGAAGGGTGGCTTTGACATCAGACAGCCCAGAAGTCGTGTCCAAATCAGCAGCTAGACGCTTCCTTGCCCCACACACTCCTTGACATTCCACATCATTAAAACCTTGACTCCTTCTCTCAGTTTTGCATACTTCTGTCATTTTATCCCATGTGTAGGCTTGTGTAACCATCACCACAATCCAGTAACAGAACTCTTCCACCACCACTAAGATCCTCCTGCTGCTCCTTACAGCCACATTCACCCCGCTCCCTCGCCAACCCTAGAATGAGCAACCACCAATCTGTTTTCCATCCCTATAATTTTGTCATTTCAGAAATGTCACATAAGTGTTCTCATACAGTATATAATCTTTTCAGGGTGGCTTTTGGCACTCAACATAATGTCCTTGAGATCCATCCAAGTTGTCAAGTGTGTCAACAGTTTCCTCTGTTGTATGGCTGAATGGTATGAATGATATTTCCACGATGTGGAAGCACCACAGTGTTTTTAGTGATTAAAAAGAAAAATCATCAGCTAGACAGGAAATAAATAAATCAAGCACTTATTAAATTTCTCACAGCGGGGAGACTTTCTTGGACTAACACAGTAGTTAATTGCTCAGAAAATAGAATCAGACTGATCATGTTTTTACCTCCAAACTGGGACTTCTCCCCAAGCCTCAGTCTTCCCCTCTGCACGGTAGGTTGAAGAGAACCCTCCCCTTAGAGCTACAGAGAGGAGCCAACAAGTTCCCAAGTGTTACCCATAGGCCTCCCTTAATATAAGATTGTCACACTGAGAAGCATCAGAAAAAAATCACAAGGAAAAAGATGGAAACACTTGGCAAACAAATTTTTAAACTCCTCTGGAGTTTAAAATGCAATTAAAAGTTAGATAACAACCGGCCATGAAACAATGGTGGTAGATAAGGACAACAAAGAAAAAGACCTTTAAAAATTGGCTCCCTCCCCGTCCTCCAGCAAATCATTTAGGAAATCTTGAGAACTCAGTAGGGTAAGGGAAAAATTTGAAGAGACCATGCCCGAAGGAGGAAATAAAGTTAGGAGCAAACGCTCAATAGAATGCAAAGAAGTGAAAGGGAAACAGGTCCATTCCATATTTTGCTTGAGATTAACCAATATATGAATAGATTTTAGTGAAAGTTCCCAGTGTATCAAGGGAGGGTGGTGATGGTTCCTCCGAAGCACTGCAGGTGGGAGGTGTTAAAGAAACAATTATTTTGACACTCGTTAAAACAGTACGGAAAACTTTAAGTGGGACTATTGCATTAGGTGTCAGGACTGTTGCAGTAGGGGAGAGATGGGGCTCCACTCACAATGTAACAGGGACCGTGGGAATATATAGCCAGTGTGCAGAGTGAGGGGGGTCAGTGGATGGAAAATTCAATGGTAGTGGGGTTCATGGTAAACTTACTTAACTGGATTCTCGCTGCAGGCAGCCCAGGGGCATCAGCTACCAAGCATGGGGGATTATCTCTAAACTGACTTAGTAGGGTTCTTGCTAAAGCGGAACCCAACAGGCCAAAAACAATGCCCACGGATGAGGCCTAGTTGGAAAGTGGGCTCAGAGGAGCCTGTCTAAAGTTTGGTCAAGGAGAGTCTTCATTGGTTCCTCCTCTTGTTCAAGGAAAGAACAGAATGAAACATACACGTGAACAAATGGAAATACAATAAAATGTCATCATTTTTCCTTCTTGTTTTTCAGCATATTTTCAATTTTCTTTAATTATGATGAAGGAATTTTAAAATGAAAGATCAAGGAACGTATTACATGTATTTTAGATATTGGCCGACAACAGTGTGTTTACAACAGTCGCTGCCATCACTTTACAGAAATCGTGAAAAATTAAGTGTCCTGCAGCTACATGTAGTTCTAATACATCTGTTCTTTACTTCAGTCTTACTGTTGAGATGGTTGACCTAACTGGACAAGAATATCCACTAGATCTGTGTAAATTTGTTTAATAAAGCCCCAGTCTGTACACTGGCACCGAAAGGCCAGAGGTGCTGGAAGGAGAATGTTTGGTCCTACAGCAAGTCCTGCTCATTTGATTGATATTTATAAGAAATCGTTATTTCTTCTTTCAGCCAATAGTGAGGAGTGTATAAGTGCAGGCACTGCATGGGGGCTGGGGATTCCCTGGTGAAGGAAACAGACACACACAGGTCATGTTCTGATGGGCTTTATCATCTGCAGGGAGAAATGGAGGTTAATCAGCCAGTCACGCGGAGCAATCTCAAACAACCCTTCCCCCCTCCCCCTTTGTGGAATGCAGTAGGACTGAGGCCCACTCTGGGAGCATCAGAACAAGGCAGTCAGGAACTGACACTGAGCCAGTATCTGAGGACGAGCAGGAACAAGTGTGACCAAGAGGAAAATTAGTTGTATTCTCTGGAGAAGACTCAGTATATGCAAAGGTCCTGGGGTGGGAGTGAGTAATTACAAGGAGTGGTGGGGCCAAAAGAGAGCAGAGATCCTTGGAAGGGGCCAGACCTATCTCGTCATTTACAAGAGGCGTTAAACTTGACAATGGAAGTATTAGGTGGGCACATGCTTGGGCATCCCATGAACAGTCCTATTCCAATCCTGGCTGGGCTGCTGAGTCCTCGTAATGTTCTGTCCACAGTATTTGGTGTGATTGCACCAGGCCCTTCAGGGATCTGTCTCGTGTGTTGCAGGGATTTTAAAGGGATCATCCTGACCCTCCTCTGGGAGGACAACGACCATCTGCTGAATGTTGCAGAGGTGAGGACTGCTGCCCACAGGCCTCTGCCTGCCCTGTTGCAAGCCATAGGCCACATGTCCCCAGCTGCCTCTGCCTCCTGCAATCTACTGATAATGGCCTTGTGGGTAAAACTGAGGAAAGGGGATGCCAGCCCCCATGACCAGGGCTACGCAGCTAAACATCATTCATTCATTTATCCATTTATTCAGCCACCAAATATTTCTTCGACACTAACTGTATGTCAGATACTGACATACAGTTAGTATCTGACATACAGTTAGTGTCGAAGAAATATTTGTGTCAATGTGAACAAGCCCCATCTCTGTCCCTGAGGTCAGTGCCCAGCAAGAGTGGGGCCGACGTGGCGGCAACACAGAGAGACAGGAGGGGTGATAGGAGCAGGCACCTGGGGTTCCTCCAATCAGAGCTACCCAGTGCCCAGTTCCAGCACATGCAACACAGGGATGTCTGCCTCCCACTGGGCTGTGAAGGCCTTCAGTACAGGGCCTCTGGATCATCCATATTAGTGGCCCCCAGCCTAGTACCCAGCTTGGAGTTTCATAGAAAGCTTTCAGCCTGGTCACTGAAATGAGATTCCATTTTGGTCTTGAAGGATAAACAGAATTTTGCCATTCACTCACCTGTGCCGTGCAATAGCCCTGTGATGCCGGCTGTGGTGAGAAGGGCAGACAGGCAGGAAGAGCGCCACCAGCATAGGGGACGGCAGGAGAGAAGGCTAGGGGGTGTTGGGAGCATGAGCAAGAGTCCCACAGTGAGAGTCCTTGCTCACACACTGTCAACCCTCTCTTGCAGGAGTTTTATCGGAAAGAGAAGCGCTCAGTCACCAGGCCTGACTGCATGTACGATACCTTTGACCAGTGCGCAGAGAACATCGGCAAGAAGATCCTGGAGTACCAGAGCCAGACAAACGAGTACCACAACTCCTGCCTCATAGGTGGGTGCGGGCGGGCAGGCCAGCTGAGGGTGTGACACAGAGCTAGTGATTGATCTAGGCCTGGGCCTCCGGGCCTGCATGCTACCCTCCTGACCTGGAGGTCACCATGGAGGTAGAGGAGCCCTCCCCCCACCCCCCTGTAAAAAGCTGACATCTTAGAATTAAGTGAAAACCTTGATCAGATTTAACCAGGAGAAACAACGGTGCCCCTATCCCCGCCCCCACCAAAGCTTCTTTTTTCTTGAGAAATATGGTGATTTGTATCACTAAAAATGTTTTGTTCATTGCACAGATATTTTTGACAGCTTTTTTGAGATGTTCACATACATACAATTCACTCATCTAAAATGTACGATTCAGTGGATTTTAGTATATTCAGAGTTGTGTAACCATGGCCACTGTCAGTCTTAGAACCCCCTGCCTCTCCATCACTTCCCCAGCCCTAAGCAACGCTAATCTACTTTCTGTCTCCAGAAATTTTAAATCTCTCTAGTCTGGGCTTTCATAGGAATGGAATCATATAGTTATGTGGTCTTTTGTGTCCGGCTCCTTTCATTTTGCATAATTCTTTAAAGCTTCATCCATGTTGTAGTGTGTATCGGCACTTCATTCTTTTTTATGGCTGAATCATATTCCACTGTATGCATGTACCGCATTTTGTTTATCTGTTCATTCATTGATGGACACTTGGTTGTTTCTGCCTTTGGCCATTGTGAATAATGCTCCAGTGAACATGCATGTACCTGTTTTTGTGTGGACACGTTTTCATTTCACTTAGGTGTCTAACTAGGAATGGAATTGCAGGGTCATATGGTAACTCTGTTTAATCATTTGAAGAATCCTTCCACAGCACCTACTGTATGCCTGACCTGTGCTGGGCTATGATGAACTTGGTAGATACAGCCTCCTGGGGAATAGGGGCATGAAAACAGGCAGGTAGAATGCATCTTTCCATTTACATTTATTATAATGACATTAAAGGAGCTGTGAAAACATGCCCATTAGCCCCCCTTTTGTCTATTTCTCCATGTTCCTCTGTGTCTTTGTCCATAGCCATGTGTATTTTGTACAGTTATAAGTCCTAATTATTCCTGCATCTGAGGCAGGGAACCTCAGGACTGTTATGTTGGTTGAGGGGCAGCATGGGTAGAAGAAGGAGAGAATTGTGGGACAGACAGACCTGGGGTCAAGACCCAGCACTGCCATTTCCTAGCTATATGACCTTGACCAAGTTACTTCACCTCTGTGAGCCTCAGTTTCCTTGTCTGTAAAACCACCATGCAAGGCATTTTTGAGGACAAGCCCCTTGCATAGACCTGCTGTATACAAAGGAAACAGCCTGCCATAGTTCTCATTACTGTGGTTGGACAATGACTAGAATTGAAACCACAGACAGCATTTTGTTTCTTTAGCTCAGAATTTTCCTAGATGAACTCTGTGGGATCCCATCCTATACGATCCTCCTCAAAAGAAAGGTTCTGTGGACAAATCAGTTTGAGAAATGCTGCAGATTATGTCCCTCTCTGAAGATTGACAGTTCACACTAAATGGACACTTCCATTCCCTACAGTTTGGGAATCCAGTTACCTGACCGACTCTCCCACTGAAAACATGCAAAAATGCTGGATAGAATATTTTTGTGATGAACTCTTTTAAATGCATTGAGCTAGCTGTAAAGTAAGAAACACATAAGGCCCCCAAATTAAATAAAATAGGAACTCTAAGAGATAAAATTGAGCAGTAATGTTGGCTATTGCCCCAAGAGCTTTGCTGACGCCCAGGTGAATTTAAGCCCCTGTTTTGTGGCCTTTAGGGCATTGGGAAAAGGAGACAAAGCCCCAGACCTCCCAAAGTAGAAAGTCTGAAAGACCACAGCCACATAAAACTGGGACTCCACGTGCTGGAGTAAGTGAATGAAACAAAAACCACTCCTCCCACCCCCACAACTGGAAGGAAACTAAAACTAGCTTATTCAAAACCTTGGTACTGGGTAAAGAAGCAGCAGAAAAACTCCAATGAGAATCCATGACCATAAGCCAGCCCTTATGTGGTTTTTAAAACAGAGATAAGTCACACTGAGATAAACCTGAATTCAACTTTGTTTCTGTGGACCATCCACAAGACCTCTTGCTGATACCTCCGCTTAAAGTGACCTTGAGTTAGTTGTGCTCAGATACTTGTTTAATAGAGACACTACAAGTCCTCTCTAGAAAAACCTGCTTTCAATTCAGGGAGTCTCATGCCCAGAATAAGAGCCCACAGTAAAAATAGACCCCCACTCCCAACACACACACACGCGGGAAAAAGGAACCTTAGGCAAGAGGCAGCAGGATGAGGCCAGTAAAGACTTTGGATATTAAATGTATCGGACAGATTATAAAAGAGTGTATTTATTAGAGGACCAAGTAGATATGAAATAGAACCAAACAGAACTCCTATATTGGGAAAATAAATAGTTGAAATTTAAAAATTATGAAAGGCTTTACTATCAGATTATTCCCTGCTGAAGGTGAAATCAGTGAACTGAAAGATAGATCCAACAAAAATATCCAAAATACAACACAGAAAAACAATGATGGAAACTGAGGAGAGAGGTAAAGAGATATAGAGGAGAGGGGAGGCCTAGCATATAGCTAGAGGTCCAAAGGGAGAGGAAGGAGACTTGAGTCAGGCAATATTTGAAGAGATAAGGGATGAGACAGAACTGCTGAGAGACGCAATGCATTTTAAATGAGCCAAAAAATCCCGCAGCATATGGAAGTCATTTGAAATTGTTTAGTCCAGTATTTTCTATATTGGTTTGATCACAGGACCCCTGTTGATGAAATAGCTATTACCACATTGAAGACCAGTTTTTCTCTTTGGGAAATTGCTTTGGGCCCTGTTGTAGAGATCACCTCAGTAACTTGGCTCTGCTCAGTCCTGTCCCCTGATCCCCTACCCCCAATTTCTACAGAATTACGAGCCCAGATGAGGAGATTTGAGGAGCTGCTACCCCAGGTGTGTTGGCTGGTGATGGAGAATTTTAAGGAGCAGCACTGGAAAAAATTTTGTGCCTCCATCGAAGAGATCCGGAAACAGTTCTGGGATTATCAGAAGCAACTGGAGACAAGAAGGGTGAGGGCCCCAGGACTAGCCCTTCCTCTCTAGGACCAGGGGCCCTGGATGCAGGGCATAGGCAGAACTGAGCATCAGGGAAGGCGATGGGCCAGGCTTGGGATTGTTAGGTGGGGGCTGAGGGACGCCAATGGAAAAATGAGAGTGGGAACAACAGCTTCTTCATAGAAGGCATTCAGTAAACTCTTTGTTGGATGTAATGGGTGGGTAGGCTGGGTTCCGTGTGGCCAAGGTCACTGAGATAAACAATGATCGTCCACCTGGTCCTTGCAGCCATGGGATGTGGATGCCGTTGATTTCATTGGACTAAAGCCCTGATTATGCTGGACAGATGCTCGACTCACCCTCTCCCTACCCTCAGAGTTGGCTCCAACCATGTCCTTATTTTGCCTTCTCTGCCACTCTTCTGCCCACACATGGCCCTTCACACGCCCAGGTCAGAGTACATATCAGTCTGGCCATGGCTATAATTGGCAGAGGACTTAGGCCAGTGACTTTTTGGTCTTGACATCAGGACAGTGGGGTCAAAATCCCTGCTGATTTCTGGATCTTTTGATTGAAGGATAAAAATGCCCAGAGTCTCCAACCAAATCTCGGACACCCTGCCCATTTCCAAGAAATGGAGTCTCTATGTCAAGTAGAAGAGAAAAGACAGGAAGATTTGGACACCGTAATTACGGCAACCAGGGAGAAGCTGGAGGTCAGTGGTACCATTGACTCCCAAGTCCAGGTGCTGAGGGATTATCTCCAGAGAGATTAACCTAACCGATAGCCCACCAACACTGAGCATGGCTTTTTGCTGGCACCCTGGCCAAAGCAGGACATGAAAGTGGGCAGATTTTAGAGGTGGAGATGGTCATTATTGGCTGTTTTAACTTGTATTTTTTAAATTTCTAAATTAATTATAAAATCACTAATGAGAACTGTTTTTCAAGATCTAGGTCTAGTTTTATATCTTCTTTGGTGAATAGTCCCTTGGCCATTTCTGAATCATTTCCTATCTTCGATGCCAGTTAACTTGGACACAGTTGACACATGGTTTTGGTCTTCTCTCGCCTGCTGGCTCTCCATATGCTCCCTCAGCCTGCTTTTGGAGGCAAGTTCCTCTCCCTGGACACTGGGCTTTCTTCCAGGAATTTACCAGGAATTTCTTGCAGGAATTTACCAAGAAGTACGGCCGGTTTTTCATTACCAGCTTGGCCACCTTCACCGAGAAGTTCCTGCTGCAGTTAGATGAAGTGGTCACCATCGATGACGTCCAGGTTGCAAGTAAGTGGCACCACCAGCCTTGTACCCTGGCCCCAGGGGTTTAGTGAGGCATAGGCTGATGGGCCTAGGGGTCTGCTTTCCCCCAATTCCACCAGAATAAAAACAGATTCTCCACTGAGAGGACTGATGAGTTTTTGTTTGTTTTCATTAAAAGTAACTTTTTAAATTAAAAAAAAAAATCCCAAATGGGTCAAAGATTATATGTGAAAAACGAAACTCTAACAGTAAATATTTTCATAATCTTGGGGTAGGGACAGCTTTTTAAATATGAGATGATATTTTCATAATCTTGGGGTAGGGACAGCTTTTTAAATATGAGATGAGAGCCAGAAACCATGAAGGAAATGGCTAGCACTTCTCTGTGGTCAAAACAAAACAAAACAAAACAAAACAAAACAAAACAAAACAAAAGGAAAAAATGTGAAAAGATGGAAAGCTCAACCACAAACTGGAAAAATATTCTTAATAACCTGAAGGGCAGAGGAAGGCCGAATATACCTGTTGTACAAAGAACTCTAACAGGTCAAATTTGTAAAAAGAGACAATGGACAAACACGAGAAGCAATTCTTGTGGCAGTAAATGTAAAAGATGCTTGACTTTACAAGTGATGCAAAATGCGAAAACAAATGTTATTAAGATATCAGTTTTCACCAACAGTTTTTACCACTAAGCTTTTAAGCTTAGTGGTAACCAGCCCTGCTGAGAATGTGAGGAAGCCCAAGTGCCAGAGACCCTTGGAGAAGTGTAACATCGACACCACCCTCTTGGAGAACGCTCTGTCAGTCCCTGTCAAAAGTCTGAACGTGTACACCTTTGACCCAGCAGTCATTACCCTAGGAATTCCCCTAACAGAAATACTTGCACAATTTCTCAAAGATTTTTCACGCATATTCATAACAGCACTAAAATTGCAAAGAATTGGAAACAACAGTAATAACCAGGTAGAGGGGACTGGATGGATACTTTGTGGTCGAGATGTACAAGTGAGTACTGTGCAGCTGTTAATGTGGGTGCAGGAGGTCTGTAAGGGCCAGTGTGGAAAGGCAGCAGGAAGAAATGCTGTTATGTGAAAACACAAGTCGACAGTCAATACTTATCTATGATACCATTAAAAAAAACACGTATGATATAAATATGCGTACTCACATATGTGTGTGAGAGAGACAGAGTCTGAGAGACAGGAACCAGCCTGTTGACAGTGGTCACCTCTGGTGGCTGGGACTGTGAGAGATTTCTGAAATCTTTCATTTTACCAGGTTAAGTGATGCTTAAAGTTTTTATAATGTGCATATTACTTTTATAAACTATACAAAGACTCAAATCATTTATTAAATGTTGCCCATTTACCATTAAACTATTAAGTAAAACATATTATTTTGTTAAATTGGTATTACAAAGACAATGTAAATATTATAGTAAAATAAGAACTCCAACATATCTGGTGCATTCGGCTTTTCTGTGAGAGGGGGCTCTGCCTCCCACGGGAGACTCCCAAGTGGGGAGGAGGGAGGTGAGCCCTCATTTCTGTAAACATAAGGTTCGAGGTAGACCCCTTGAGCTCAGGCCGTGGGTGAGGCCATGGTCAGTAACCTATCTCTTGCCTGCCAGGGATGGAGCCCCCTAAACAGAAAACATCAATCCTCATACGGAGGAAACTTGCCAGACTTTCCCTGGAGGAAGAGAGTGAGAAGCCCTTGATTGAACGGGGGAGCAGGTGAGAGCCAAGAACAGGAGGAATACAATGGATGGCTGTATTTGCTGAGGATAGTACAGTGGGATAACTGACCTGGTACCCTGGGAAAGGCATCATGGTCTAAGCCTCAGTTTCCTCATCTGTGAAATGGGCATGGCAGCCTACCTCACATGGCATTATGAAGAGAAAGTTAAATGAGATTGTACATGGACTGCCCCTGGCACATACTGAGAGCTTAGCCCCTATTAGTTTATGTGATAAGGACCCACAAAGAAAGGAAGGCCTGTCCCAGTGTGAAGCACATTCTGGGTCACTGGTGGCACTGTGAACCACTGCAGCTGTCTGTCATATGTGATGGGAGCTCTCAAGGTGCCTGTCCTTGTATTCTAAGAATGTGACCCTGGAAGAAGTAAGATGGTGATGTGCCCAGCTAAGTTCTTAGCGGTGGCTTTTACAGCACAGCAGGGAAAAGGGACTAAGAACTGGTGACTGCCACCTGGCGGCCAACTGATGAGGAGACTAAGGCCCAGAAAAGGGAAGCAATTAGAGGTGTGACATTCCCCTTCCTCAGGGAGAACTCAAGACTGTCTATTCGCACGATTTAAACAATATGAAAATACAAAAAATAACTTGAAGCAGCTTAACATTAAATGCTCAGAAGGGTTTTTCTTTTCATTAAGATATTTAAAGAAATGCTAACCCTTCCCGCCAGGGTTAGTGTGAATGATGGAGTCAAGTCTGGGGCTTTTACGTGCATGTTTGTTTGTAGGAAATGGCCCGGAATCAAACCCACCGAAGCCACCATCCAAAACAAGATCCTCCTCAGGAAAACATCATCAATCACCACCACCAAAACAACCCTGGGCCACCTGGCAGCCGTGGAGGCCCGAGATGCTGTCTACCTGGTGAGCGGAGAGACAGGCTCGGCTGGGCGTGTCTGAGGGAGTGCAGGGCAGCTCAGTTTGGCTGGCTGGGGAAGGAGGGATCTTCCCATCACAGGTGCTCTGACATTTGGCCCATGGAGCAGATAATACATGTCAGGGTGCCCCAGAGTACAGTGTCAACACTCAGGGCAGTTGATGTTCTCAGGCACATGGACGTGAGCCACTAGTCATGTCCAGGCCCAGTGACAGCATGGGTCTGATGGCATGAACCCCAGGGCTATGGGGGCCCAGCCAAGAAACACCCCACCCAGACTAGGGAGGGGGGTGAAAGAAGGCTTTCAGGAGGAATAGTTGAATCAGAGCAAGGGGACAGAGTTACTCAGAGGCACGGAGGCCCTGGGAGCAATGAATGGAACAGCTGACAGTTACTGAGCACCTACTGCAGCTTCTGTTCTCAACATGAGGCATCTCACTGAATCCTCTTAATAATCTCACGAAGAAGGCAGAATTGTCCTGTTACTGACAAAGACATTGAGGCTTAAAGAAACATGCTCCCTTCTATGCCCCTACAGAGTGGCAGAGCTAGGATTAGAACCCAAGTGCCTGTTAGAGACCCGTGGGGCCTACCTGAAGAAGAGGCTATACCCAGATGCCACCTGTGGGACCTCTAAGCCCTGAAGATGTGTAGACCTTTGGTCCTGGTACATGGGAGAGAAACCTTGTCTTGCCCAAAGACAGGCTGACCCTGGTATAGGGAGAACCTATAGCGTGCCCAGGGCTGGCCTGGGCCAGCATGTCAAGTCCCAGGCAAAGGGGGCAGTTCTGCCTGCTGAGTTCAGTAAGGGCTCAAGGCCTGGAGTGCTCAGCCTCCCGAGGAAGCCAGGATGCCTGAGTTCCAGGGACGCCTCAGTGCAGGACAAAGGTTAGGAAGGAGCGCAGAGTCCAGAGCCCGGTAGACTGGGGTCTTAGTCCCTGCTCAGCCCCTTTCTAGCTGGGTGACCTCAGGCAAGGCTCTGAGCCTCAGTTTCCCCATGTATAAAACAAGAAAACAACAGAACCTGCCTGATCAGCTGTTGGGCGAATTACATGAGAAATGACTTGTGGAAATCTTGCCAGTGCCTGGGGTGGGTTAAAGCTGCCTGCTGGCAGGTTACACCGCTCCTGTAGGGCACATAGTCCAGAAGCCCCTCCTCATGTGGCCTCCTTGTTCCCAGAAATATTTAGCATTATTTGAAGAGGAGCTGAAGAAGATCCACGATGACAACACGTTGCTGGTAAAGGAGGCTCAGTGCTGGAGGGACAGCTGGAAGACCTCCGTGCACACCATCCAGGGCCTGTACTTATGACGTCCTCGACTTACCCCAAATAAAGGCTCATTTTGTATGGACTCCTTCCTTATATATCTGTCTGTCTGTCCATCCACCCAGCCGTCCGTCTATCCAGCCAGCCAGCCTACCAACCATCCATCCATCCATCCATCCATTCACCTACCCATCCACCCACCCATCCATCCACTCGCCCACCCGTCCATCTCTGTTCTATGCCAAACACTGTAGCTTCATCACGCAGTGACTGGGACACAATGTGGCCCTGCCCGTGTGAACATCCATTCCAGTGAGGAAGACTGGGGTGAAAGAAGGAGTTTTACATCGTTAACAGGGATGGCGGGTGAAAGCAATGGCTCGCTTAAAACTGAGACCAGTATTTTAAAGGAAATAACTTCCAAAAGTCATGCTTGGTACTTTACCTTAGAAAATGAAATAATTAAAACTT